CAAATCTGGCTAGCTCGGTAGCTGTGGCAGGCTTGCGCTTGCTGCCCCTGCAAATTGAAGAGCAGATCGAGGGTGGCAACCCGCTACCTCAGGCTTCGATTAATCATTAAACTCCGTCGATGAGATTGGCATAGCGACGATCGTACGGTCGAGACTCGATGCAGGTTCATCGCTGTCGACCAGATAGTTCAGATGCTCTGGATGCATGCCTTCAAATGCTGATCCCTCCTTTAATTCAGAGCTCTAGTCTTGGCCTCTCACATTCCGTCTCCAACCACAAAGATCGAAAGCACTTGCTACAGTAGATCATCGGAAGATCCGACATGCAGAAGCGGGGCAGAAGCCAGTGCCTCACTCGTCAACCAGTGATTCATGGGGTTGACATTCTTGCAGAACGGCCTATCTTAGTGCTTGCATGCAGACTGGCGCCGCCTACTGCACCGGTTGGGGGGCGAAGCGCCTCCCGGATTTCATTGATGTAGTTCGTGGACCCCCCGAAGCCCCCACACTAAGCAAACAGAGCCGTGGACCAGTGGTCCTCTTGACATTGCGGAGGGGCCCCAGTGTAAGACGACTGTAGAGGCTGACGTACGGGAAGAGTATCAATGGCTTGTACCCAGATTGCAGCAATCCTGGGAGTTCAGTGGTGATTACATGATTACAGCTTTGCCAGGAGACGCGTAGTAAGCACGCACTCACCGTAGTATTTTTCTATTTTGGCAAGAAAGAAGCCGCCTTACTTCACAACTCAAGCTCTCTAGCTTAGCAGCTAGCAGCTTTGCCCACCGCCCACATTCCAGAGACCAATCCTTTGTTTCTTCGAATCGAACCACCAAGCGGTTTAACGGACAATCGGCTGTGCCAGCAGCGCCGGATTGAATCGGACAGACCGTACTCCAGCGTAACTGGTCTTGTCCTTCTCTTGGGCCACTTTTCTCCGTCTAAGCACTCAAGTTGTGGGCGCTGGTAAAAGGTGAGGACATAACAGCTCCGGGCAACTCTTGCCAATGTTGAGTTATTGAGACAAAACTTTGAGCTGGATGAACCTGATCCATTTAGAAAGCGGAGGCACGGAAGCCCTCTGCAGGCCTGAGACTGGTCGGGTCCGGCTCGGAGTACTCCACCCAGCACCTTTCATCATGACGTTGCAGCATTGCTGCTGAGCGAAATGTAAAAATTGGTCAGAGCGAGACTCGGAACTATATAATCACGTGCCTCTGATGGACCATGTTCATCATGCTATACCTAGTTTCCCAAAGGTACTTTTGTAAGAAGGCAACATATTCAGGCAAGGGGAACGGGGGGGATCCCGTTGCGCGTACTTCAGATCATGGTTGGTCAGATATTGATCAGTCGCTTCATTTTTAAACTTAGATGACAGTCTCGTAAGCCGTTTGATTTGCACCCTTGTGGCAGAAAAAGTATGATACCTAGCCCCACCGAACCAAGTACTCAAGATTTATAAGTTGCAGTTTGCTGCGATGGGATCGGTTTCCGTGAAGTAGGAGCAGGACGAAATGAAGAAGGTGAGCATTGCATGGATCAAAGCAATGTTTAACTACGCCCTGCTGAATTTTCTGCCCACCTTGCAACCTCTGGATCTTTATTGACCTTTCCAACGGGCAAATAGCTAGAACGAGCCTCCTTGACTTCGAGCAGACGTCCTCCAAAACTGAAGCGTGTGGCAACACTTGACCCGGACCCTTTGCGAAGTTCCAAAGTTTGTACAAGACATCAAGCTGAGCTCTACGCTGCTCCCGCGGATAGACTTGACTTCAACGTGCAAATCTATCACCCTAGTTTCTGTTTGTGGGCAATCTTCTGATACTCAGGATTATCTGCTTCACCTTACAAGCAGGAAATGGAGGACATGCTCGCGCACATCCTGTCCGAAGACTTCGTTCAACAGTACCTGTCCCGCTGGTCCGGCTACGTCTGGCCGTCCTCCTTTGTGCGCAACCCCCACGCTCTGTCCGGGACCCTCCGCGACCGTTTCCTTGCTCGGCTGCACGAGAACCGCCTCATTTTGGAAGGTACGTTGGTAATGCGCCGTCGCACCTTTGTAACTGGTATCATCAAACAGTCAATGATGAGTAATCGACCTTTTTCGTCTCTTATTCTGAATTGGCGAACTTCTGAAAGCGAGAGCTGAACTTAGACAAGCGTGTCAGGTCTCTCCACCAAATAGTGACACTTGGCTTAAGAGCGGGTCCTGAGCCATTTTTACTAGTCTTGGTTGGATACGCAGGTGGCAAGCTGTGAGTTGAAAGTCTTTACGGTCTAATGGTCGCATCTGGGATGCGTTTTGATTCAAGTCATCTTTGCGTTTGGATGGCGCTTCGAGGAGCAGTGACAACGTCCCAGCAATTTCGAACCGAAACATCCTCTCGTGCCATTTTTGCTACGCCATCTTGTATACGAGCCAGAATTGATTTTCCGACATAGTACGAAAGTTCGTGGGAATCGTCAGCTCGGTCACTGACGTGGCCAAAGTCTGACGGCTCCATGCCAGCTGGCACACGAAATCTCTGTTCCTTCCGCAGCTGGAGCCAAGGCCCGCGCGGTACAAGGACGCCTGGGGCGACATCGCCCCGCTGCAGTCCGTGTTTCACGGGACGCCGGAGGCCAACGTCGACTGCATTCTGCGCCAGGGGCTCCTCCCTGAGCGCCGCCGTTCAGGTACCTGGGACTGGTTCGGCGGCTCACCCGCGGCCGCCAAACCCTTCAAGAAGCTGCTGGTCTTTCTCGTGCTTCATGCCGGTGGCGCGGCCGCCACCGCGGCTCTGTCATCTCAGTGGAAGGAAAACCTAGGCCATGTGACGCTGAAGTGTGCGAGCTACCAACTGCCCGTTGGAACAGTAGAGCTGGCGAAGTTTGCTGGCTTCTAGGGAACCGGATTCGTTGAAAGCGGAACCGACTGTACGCTGATGAGCTTTGCACGTTCTGCCATCTTCGTCAGGCGGAGGCAACCATTGGAGTTTGAAAGACCTGGTCACCTGGAGATAGAGCGTTTATAGAAACTGAATACGTACGTCAAGTCAACCTGTTGCGGTTTGAATGTAGTACACTGAATAGCAGACTTTGTTATGAATGAAAGAATTACATAAATCTGAAGAAGGCCCGATTCTACGATTTTCGGATGCATGCACTCTTATGCAGCATGTCGTGTACTCAATTTGAGTCTTACATACAGATTTCATAAGCTCAACTTCGTGCCTCCACGCTGACATGCGACGAACCATATGTGGTCTAGCATGAGGATTGCTATTTTGGCATGTGTGAGTCCAAGCGATGCAGCCTAAGCTAGTGCATGTAACTTAAGATCTTAAGTTGCATATTACATATTCAAATATGAGTTGCACTTAAGCTATTTGAAAGCCATCAATGGGCGGCCCTGGCGTACGATACCTCATGTGCACTTACATACAAACCACGTCCACCAAGGAGAGGATAGATTGCAGCTACGTCACCAAAACCCCAAGTGTATATACGTGCAGGCAGCCGATCCAGTTGTTAGTAGTTTCGGAGATGCACATAAACGAACATGAAGCGGCGCACGCGCGCGTGCGCCTTGGATCATCTCGCGAGATGATCCAATGATGACGATCGCGTTCCGAACATGGTCATGTTCTTCATATAATCATAAGGGAGCCACAGAGTTAATTATCTAGCAACAAAGCTTGCGCAAAAGATAAACTACAAGCGTATGGAGGGCCGACGCGCTGATGCGCATGCAAGTACCAAGTGCTCAAGCGAAAATGGTTTTGAATTACACAACATAGAGTTGCAAGCATTTGCATGAGTTTTGGGGAATAAGGAGCTATCGATTCCTAAGTACCTTATAGAATTTGATCGACGACGGCGTCGAACCAGAACGGAGATCTCGGACCACCATAATTTCACTCGACGCAATTGCGGCCTTGAACGCTGACATGAGGCACGAGCCTGATCGCAAGTTCCGCTTTGCACCGAAAATGCGATTCATGTCGATCAATCGTATCACAGTGCAGCCAAACAGCCAATTCCGACTTTACCAATGGATAAAATGGAACAGATCAGGTATCAATGATAAGCAAGACGAGTAAACAAGGCAAATGTCCTAGAACGCACCTGTCTGTTTGCAATTATTCTCGACATCAGCAAAGCGACATTACACTAGCTACTCAAACCAGACTCGATCTGACAGTAGATTAGCATCTCGGACTCTGGCGGACACGTTGTTCTCTTCCCCGTATCCTTATTTCTAGATAACTTAAGCTGGCGGTCTGCGACCATTCAGCTAAGGTTAGGCGACAATCAAATCAAATTACTTTAATCCAAATCAATTAAATAAATTCAAGGTTGCTAAACAACCGATGATACTCTCCTCATCTGGTCAATGAAGCCGCAAAATCCTGTTTCAAATCTCAGCTTTAATTGGAGGCTACCGGCGGGGTTAGGCGTCTTAGAAGGTCGTGTAAGGATCCGCTGCCGCTGCAAGAAGAGGTAGAGCATAGGGTTGAGTCTCCAAAGCTGCTGGAGGTGTTAAAGCGAAGGACCTGAGAGCAAAGATTCCCCATCCGCCGCGCTTCATATGTTCTACAAATGCTGATTTATAATCATTCCCGCTCGGAATTCACAAGCTAGGAGTATCGGAACGGCCCTGAAACAGCGCCGAAATGATTGAACCGACTTTGGTTATTCTGGCTTTCGCACTGCTTGGTCCTCTTCATGCCCGGCAACACCCTAAACGGATGCAGGGCCGATCTACCGTGTTGCATCGCCAATTGCAAATTGCTCAAGTAAAAACAACTATATTACCCGTTTTTGTTGGACAAGAAGGCTAGCAAACGAGTTGCCTTTGTCATCCAGGGCGCTGAAAACATGAAGAGCATGAAGGTGTGGAAGAATGACAGAAAGTCTGGCTTTAAAACTTACGTCCGCTCGGAGCAGGCATGCCCTTGGGGGTGGGGGTCGGGAACGGGCCCCTGTAAACAAGGACAAAAGGGTTGGTCGGAGTAACAACAAGAGTTGATCAATGAACATGCAACCTCTGCTTACGAAGCGAAGTGCCAACGTCGCAGCAAGCAGAGCATTGAGTGGCCGCCTCACACACAGTCCCCTTTTCCGAAATGAATGCAACCGCCGCACATGATACAGTCCTCGTAAGGTATTGGATGATGCACGAAACTTGCAGCAGCCAAAGGAGCAGGGACCCAAGCAAAGCGAACCAAACCCTTGGCTCAAGAAGCGTCAAAGGAGCGAAAGCATGGCAAAGAAAGTCCCTTGGAGTGCAGCAGGTGCTGACTAATGTCAAAACTCTACAATAGCAACAGCAAAACCTTGCAGTTCTGAGGCGGGGCGCTTACATGATGTCGCAGTTACGGCCGTAGTAGTTGCGAGGGCAGGTGCAGGTGTAGGCTCCCATCTGGCCGACGAAGTCCCTCACGGGGGCACACGTGGCACCGTTCTTGCAGGGGCTGGGGTTACACACGTTGGTGCCTGCAGATTACGTTGCAGTTGCAGGAGTGAGTCTCGCTTCATGCTGGTGTGACTGACGTGGAGTCTGGGTGGCAGCACCAGATGAAGTGGAAATGAATCTGGTTGCTGGTTAGACCTCTTTGAGAACGGAAGCAGTAATGGCGGAATTGGCTCAGCGAAGGTGGATGCTTCACTTGAATGGACATCAAGAGTATGAAGGTGGCCATTGACACCACGAAAGCTGGTAGAGAGGACATAGGAGGAGAGGGCACCTAAAGTGACCCGACAAGGTACAACATAGAACCTAATGTAGTGTACAGAGCTTTTCGAAAAGACAGCATGTCACAGAGCGAATAGCCTCTTATATGACCCAGAGGTGGATACCTTCATGTTGACTCGCAACTTTCTGACTCTTGTCGCAAGCAAAGTTTGCCTGAGGATGGTCATTCCAAAGGGAAGTGCTGACTGAAATGCTCCGTACAGTTGTCCTCTTCTGTGTCTCTCTCAGCGCCTCTATGGATGCTTCTTCTAAAGAACGTTCAAACTCTGAAGAAGTACTAGATCTTACTCAGGAACAGTCAAAGGGGCACAGAGCCCAGGTTGCCACGGCCTGGTACTTGACACAAGCTTCATTGCTTCAGGCACGCTGTCCGCAATTTTTGGCAGGAAGGGTTTAGCTGCTATCAGGCCCAGTGTATAGACTTGATTTCCCAGTTCTTTTAACCGGGCTGCAACCATGGTGATAACCACCAAATATGATCAACCGCCGACTTTCTTTGCGCACGAAAGAAGCAACCGGCTTGGACAATCCAGAGCTCCACCTTCGACCTAACTACAAGTAGTTTCCGAGAAAATGACAGGGAGTTTATCAGAGCAGTGCGGCCCACCTGGCACATAGCAGAAGTCGCTTCCTACAATCTGCGACACCACAGCAGGCGCCTGGCAGGTGCAGAGGTTGGCAGTAAAGCTGAAGCCAGAGGCGCCTCTCGAGCTTCTCGTGCATGTGCCTACACAAAGGGCCCCCAAGCAGCTCAAGATCCAGCCTCTTAAAAGAATGATATTTCCACACAGGTTGTTATTGTAAAAAGACCTGGATGGATCTGATTATGCGAGACATCCGGATTGCAGTCTGCACACTCGCAACTGTTTGTCTAAAGAGACCTTCTGACCACATGTTGCTTCATGGCAAAGTCAGACGTAACCCAGAGACAGAGTCACAGACATCCCCTTGAAATAAAGCAACCAGTTGCGGCAGAGACAACGCAGGGGCACAAGCGGTCCCCGAAGGTTGCAAACTCAAGAAAGGCAGCAGGAGAAGCCCAAACAACTTGCCCCTCAACCAGTCAAAGACCAAAACAATGAGCAACCTAAAGAGCAATGTCAAGCCAATTTGTAGCCCTTACCTCCGACGCAAGCTCCGACGCATGGGTCTGGCACACATCCGACATCCGTATCCCGGAAGCTGCTGACGAATGGAATGAAGCCGGTGGGGCACGTAAACATGGTGGGATCCAGGCGCGGCGTTTGAGCGCTGACAGAGACCGCCAGGCACAGGGACACCACCAAGAGGAGCTTGAAAGCCGCCATGGTTGGAGGGGGGGTCTGGGGAGTGCTGTTGGAGGGGGGGTTCTGCAGAAGAGGGGTAAGAAGAACTCTTGAGCATGAGGTACACTTCTGGTCACATAAGGAGAGAGAGAGATTGAAAGTAGGAACTGGCAGAGGAGTTCTGCTTCTGTGAGGGGGAATAGAGAGACCAGATCTGAGAGATCCAATGCTGGAAATGAACCAGGATATGGAGGGTCGGTGAAGGCAGCTAGGCGCTCCCTTCAGAATCTGGATACCTGGATGGTGGATGAGGAAGTGAAAGCGAGAAAGCAGAGGCCTTTGAAACAGGGCTTATATGCACTAATTGGAATGCTGGCGATAGAAGCCGCCCAATAGCTTCAGACCTGCCGACAGGATTGCAACAGTAGTGTTTCGAGTTCTGATAAAGGGGCAAGTAGAGGAGGGAGAAGAAAGCCTCAAAAGCAGCTCTAGAACTTGCTGGTATAGATGTTCGTTGCTCAGATACAATGTGTGGTCATGATGTAATATGGACAGAGACTCTCATCTGCTAGCAGCAAGTGCTTCTTCTGACCTGAAGAAAGGACTGTGCAAAGGCTCTAATGCATTGAAACAGAATGCAGGTAGTGTGGATTTGTTTATGCTGATGAGATGCATAAACAGTGCATGTCGTATGGTAACAGATGATGCAGGCAGCAGAGCCACCTATTTCTACTCTGGGGATTATTGAGCAAATCCCCAGCTTGTCATGACAGTGAATGAACTTCAGTTAGCGAACACAGAGTCTGCATGGATTGCTTGTTGGTCAATTGCTGAGGATTGTTGGATGGCGGACGAGAGGGCATGGAGGCTGGAGGGCGGAGTCCCTGCAACTAGCTGGGCTAACGGTTGCTCCCTCTTCCAAAAAGGTGGGAAAAGGACAATCAAGACCAAATGTGGTAGCTGCTTGGACATACAAATTTCGCGGTTTACAAAGCTCCAGGAAGACGAGACTTGCAGGAGGTGAGCGCGAACTTCCTCAGCATTTCCAGCGGACAGCCTTCTGCTTATCTTGGCGTGTAAGGCCCAGCCATATGGAAGCATTCTGTCAAGTGGTTAAAGAGCAGCAGTGCTCGCAGCATTTCACAGATTGCGTTTGGACAAAAATAAATGCAGACTATGGACGTGAAAGCAACCACCACACTGGTAAACCAATGCCGGACAAATAGGCATCTCTGCGGCCACTCAGACAATCAGGAGCAAGCAATACTGTGTATGCATTTGGATGACCAAGTAAAGTGGTGACTGAAATTCGCAATGCCAATAGCTGCCAACAAGCGGACTTTGATAGGCTTGTTTCCTGCTGTTGCTTCCACAGAGTTCCCTGGAAGCAGACAGGTATGGCACACGCAATTTTGCATCATCACAAGCCCCAGGTCTCCGACAAGAGCCAGTCGCCTACCAATCTATGAACGCCATTTCCTTCAACAGATACACCTAAGGCAAGCAGAAAGCTTGGTCTTCCAAAAGGATAAAAGCAGCACAGGATGCATGGCAGGACGGAAGGCGCCATTGCACTCACCTGATTCGTGGCGCCTGTAGCGTCAAAGCAAAGAGCGCCTTCGTCTCCTTTCTTCTAAGTTCTCACTCGTTCTCCTTTCTCCCGCTTGACCAGCTCCTTCCAAGTTCCAAAGCCATGCACAGCTTGCTGCTTGCATGCAGCAGAAGTCCAAGTCAAAACTCAACGGTACAATAATACCAGTATATTGCCAGTACGGAGGTAGGTACCTTGGCCCGGAGTGCATCATGCACATTGCAGATGGCATGATTCACACCGGTGCCGCAAGCAGATAAGGTGTCAACCGACTCAAATCAATATTGTTCAGTCAAGCTGTGACACAAACGTTGACATTCCACACCCACCGTCTGCAAATGTAGGAACGATCAATGGGTACCCCCTGATGCCTAGGTACCTAGTACCGTAGGTAACACTCTGGCAACTTCGAACTCCGAGTCTCGTGTGACTTCAAAGTAGGTATAAGGATAAAGTTTAATACCTAAAGGATCTAGGTAATACCTTTAAGACACGCCCGGCGAACGGGTGGGGTTGGTATGGTGGTTAGGGTGGGCTCAGGTGCGGAGCGCGTCATGTTTGTTTGTTAGGGTTTTTAGCTAGGTTGCTGCCCCGGGTACTTCCTTATCCGTATTTGATCCTAATATTGGTATTAAACTTGATGGATACCGTATCTTCAAAGTTCAGAGGCGTGTACGCCGTACGGTGTGCAGATGGGGACAAACTTTAGTACCGTAGTACCTACCGTAACAAGAAACAGGGACGGTTTGTTAGGAGACGGATGGGGTTAGTTTGATGGTTAGCCTAGTAACGGTTAGGGTGGGTTCGGTTGCGGAGCAAATCATTTTGTCCCTAGGCCCTAGGGTTTTAGACTTTAGTGTTTGTTAAATCAAGGAATTCAGTTACTTTGACTAATCCGAAGCAGATCCTAATATTAGGTACCTACTACCTATATTTGATCTTATGTGCACACTGCACAGACGCCCGTTAGGCCACACGAGAGTTGCCAGTATGGACCAGTCACCATGGTGAGTCGTGAGTCGTGACATCTAGGTACCTACCTACTCTAGTAATATGGCTACATGGTACCAGTAGTAGGATACTTCTCGATTTCATGTTGACTAAGCGCATGTTGACTAAAGATAGTGCTCGGGGGCACGAACAACCTAAAAACCTAAACCGATAAATGACACCCGCTCCGAACCCGTACCCACCCTAACCCCCATACCAACCCTACCGTCCCCCGGGTGCTTTCCCTTAGTCAACATGCCCTTACTCAACATGAAATCGAGACCTATGGTATAACCGTGGTAAGGGCCTGGTCGCATGCCGCCAAAATCGACACATTTCCGACAGAATGTAGTGGGTTGACTTTGGTTCGGACTGTACGGTTCGGGTACGGACGGAGCGCTCGAAAGGTAGGTTTTCGACGGTGGTTCGAAAAAGTATTGGCGACCCCAATGATTCAGTACAAAACAAATGCTTTTTAATTGCAAAATAAAAAGATGGAAATACCGAGCCTCTACCGGGTTAAACCAGTCTGTGAATCGAGACCATGAGAGTCCCCGGTTTGGAATGTTGGGACCAACAGATTCTGACTGGCACTTTTGGCTAGCCCCCAGATTGTGTTGGTTTTAACGGTACGATCACGCGATCGAATTGTACCTTTTCGAGTGTTGGCCGAGTCTCGGTCGCACGCGGTTATGACTGCTTGCCAAAACCGACAGATTCTGTCGATTTTGGTGGCATGCGACCAGGCCCTTAACCGTACAGTACCTATTACAGCCGTAGCATTAATGGTGGTACCTACTGCCGTACCCGCTACCTTCCCTTCGGTCGGGGGATCGCAATCAGAGCCAGAGGTCGCCGTATTAGGAACATTCACAACTTCTGCATCTGGGCGTAGGCGGCGACGGTCAGCGAGCTGCCTGATGAAGACCGCCCGGGGGGCATTCGGTCACCGGCCGGGCTTTTCGGCATCCAGATTCCTGTACAACCTACCGGTATGTACGGTATGCTGTACACCGGCAATCTAGGGTTGGGACAAAAGAATCAGGGATATCCTTATTTAATACTGTCGTCTTGATTGGGGCCGGCGGTCCGGCCGGGGCCCGGGGGCCGGCGCTCACACACGGCTCAGTACCTACTGTACTCCAACAGACTAGGTACACTGTACAGTAGTCCTTTGTCGGTCCCACTCAGATAGGGACATGGACATAAAATCCGCCGTTTTGATTGGGCCGCGTGTCAAAAAGACCCACGTGTCGATCACAGACCGGGGTCCGAGGCGCCGGAAATACAATTTGATGCAACGTCATTTGTTCGTCACTTTATGACTTTCTGAACATCGGACGGTCGAATCGGATTATCACTGTATCGAACGGCCATCTGGGGGCTCAATGGCTCATTCATATTCCTGATTTCATCTTATAGGAGCGGTCATAACCCTCCCTTATATCTCCTTTTCCCCCGCTTTTTCTCTTTTTCTCTCCTTTTGCCCTGTACCTCTTGGCTGTGAGTGGGACCCCACCTGTGATTGAACAATAATAGGTAGGTACCGTACCGCCAAGGGAAATCACACTAAAATAATTATTTTGAGGCCTGTGTGAAAAAGTTGAAACTAAATGGGTCCCCGACTGTGAAAAGGTGAAAGCTTAAAATCGACGAAAGACGGTGATTTTGGCGACTTTCAGTGGGGAAAAGGGTGAAAAAAGCTCTTGTGTGAAATGAAAGAAACACGTTCAGGGTGTCGGGTGAAACCTCAGGATGACCGAAATTAAGTTTTCACACCAACAGTAGTGTGATTTCCCTTGGCGGTACGGTATAAGAAGTGTAGGTACCTCCTGGTCAGTACCGATTTTTATGCAATACCAACCAAGGTACCCACGGTACTTCAGGCTCGCACTTCAGCCCATCACAGAGCTAGGGCTGGTCACTGGTCAGTAATAAGTATCGAATCCCAGGGCAGGTCAGTATCCGGACCACTGTACTTACCTGTACGGTGACGCTCTACAGTATACCGGTACATACCTAGGACTACTGTAGTAGGTATACCGTACCTACATACCTCTGTTGCTGTACAGCTTTGACAAGGTGGAATCATGACAATGTGTCAATGAACGGTATTTCAAAGTCATGCATGACACCACTAGTCACTAGGTATACTTGGGTAGGTACTAGGTACTACCAAATTAGCTTTCCCATGACCTCTTTCATTCTGTGCCAGCTCGGCGCTTCGACGGAATCCGTTGCATAGACTATAACCAGGTAGGCACTAGTCTAGTATTACGGCGGAACGGAAGCAAGGAGCTTGAAACTGGATACAATGAGCAGAGATTTCATGAAGCACATTCTGACAATGATAGACATGAGGGCGAAGACAATTACACGTCTTTGCATCGGCATCCTTGTTGGTTAGTGAGAACATCCGGACTTCTGTTTTATGTGGTTTTGTTAGCCTTGTTCTGTTGGTGGAAGTGAATATGGAGCTAGCTCGCCAATCTCAGGATTATCGTTAAGCAACTGCGAGACGTTCCAATCATTACGGAAGAGTAGCACTGGGCGCCCCCACATGTCCTGCGACAAACCAATGATTGTTAGTAAACCTCTGCAGAGCGCCTTTGAAAACCTTAAAGCACTCACAGGTATATATAAAACATCAAAGCCTTCTTGGCAAGCGGATTTCTGATATGATGGCTGCTGTCTTCCAAGTATTACCGAGATGTCTTTTGACGGAGTCGGACATTGCTCTAGTATGAGAGTGAACCCGTCCTGACAAAACATGTGAAAAGATAAGTTTAGATAAATTTCGATAGCCATCAAAACGAGGAGAGGCGCATCAGACTGAAAAGTGAAGCTCTAATGCCGAGCAAAGAGATCCATTCTCGAGGCCAGGAAAGGCATCTAAAACATGCTCTCACCTTTACCGTCGCACAATTGTACAATCTGCCCACTTTTTCGAGGGCATCCCACCCGCCAACGACCCAACGTGCAACGGTGTAACCAATCGGTTCCAAAGTAGTATCAACGTTGTATTCGCTCTGCATCCGATGTTGCACAACCTGCAAAGAGAGAGAAATATCAGGAGGTGCTAATGAGAACGAGCACGAATGCACCAGAACGGGCTATCTGCCGATCATTTTAGGTTAGAAACTATTGCAAAAGCGGTGTCTCATGGAGGTGCGATGGTGCAGCGCTCAAATATGATCCGAACGAAGTTTGCCAGCGTACGGACATAGGGACTTGAGCCACCACATCGAATTGATTGATTGTATGAATGTTGACGGTTGCAACCAGCAATTCCCGAACCTAGCTCGCACGACAGCCGCCCGACGGCCACCGGGATCGGATTGATTGGTTTTCCCCGGTTCCACTTCCGCCTCGACTCCAGAACCCACATTCGGAAACCCTTGTAACCTAAAACTCCAGAACAGTTTCACGAAAAGTTGAGAGGACGTGATCCTTATAAGATTGCGCGCTCACCTCAAACTGCAAGTATCCGACTGTGACAAGCATCGGCTCGATCTGCCAGGTGCCCCGTGGGGGGAAGAGAGCTGCTGACACCCCCACAAATTCCCCTTTCCGAGACCCGAAATGGGGAACCCCCAAGAACCCACCTCAAATACCAGCTGCGCAACGGCCAAGAGGTCCGGATTGGTGTCACCCCTGGTTCAAAGGGTACAGCGCCCGCTCGAAAAACATCAGAGGACCCACCTTACCGACCGCCGCAACATCCACAAACTGGAGAGCCCACTTTAAACGAAGAGGCCTTAGAAATCGGTATTCAGAACCCACCTCAAAGTTCAATTGCCCAACCACAGGAAGGATGGGATTGGCCCCGTGTCCTTGGAGTAAAGCGCCCACTCAGTGAGAATCAACCCGAGGACCCACCTTCGCTCAACGCCGCAAAGTTCGTGATGTAGAGTGCCATCGCAAAACTTCAGGCCCTGAAACCCATTATTCAGGACCCTTCTGGTATCGAAGGAATAGTCTACAAGAAAATTCGCGAGATCCACATCTTAGAACCCTTGATACAACGTGAGTCGGACGACGATATCCAAAGTGATATCGTTGTTCCAACTCAGCCTTTCCCACTCCCACGGTGCATCTGGATCTCTTTCAACCCAGTACCAAACGACATAATTGCTCTCGTGCAAGTCAAAATGCAAGTGCCCAACGGCGGCGAGGGTTCGATTGAGCTGCCCCGGATTCACGGAGTTACAGGGCCGCTCAAAAGAAGCGAACCCGGGAACCCGCCTTAGCGCAACAGCGCAAGACCCGCAAAGCCGAGGATCTCAAGATCATATAGCACAAAAATCCGCTCTGCGGAACCCACCTCGAATGCAGCTGCTCGACTGCCGCGAGGATTGGGTTGGTCTGGCCTGGGAACATGGCTTCCTGCTTGGACCCCATAACCGATATTTTGAGAGCCCAAATGATTTCCCACAATGTCCCTCCAAAACCACAACCTCACAGTACAAACCAGTTCCTCCCACACAAGAGCTCATCTCAAACCGCCGCTATCCCACTGCGACGTACTTGATCTGCCGGGTGCCCTATACAGCAAACCAGCTGCCAAGTCTCCAGAATCCCAAAACTAACCCAAACTCGGAAACTCTGAAAACCCACCTCAGACTGTAGCTGCCCGACGGCCGCGAGGATCGAGTTTGGTCTGCCCAGGGTCTACAGAGTAAAGCACCCGCTCAGAAAACACTGCGCAAAATCAGCCAAATATAGCACCCACTTCAACCAGGAGTCTCGAAAACCCGATATCTGAACCCACCTCAAATTGCAATTGCCCGACAGCCGCAAGGATTGGGTTGGTCTGACCCGGGTCCATGGAGTAGAGCACTTGCACGGCGCCCTCTCCCAGGAGCTCCGAGATGCCCTTTTGGAACTGCTTGTACTTGGACGGGTTCGGGTTTTTGATGTACATGAACAGCTCGGGGGAGAAGCACGGAATGGCCGGGTAAGCCAACCGGGGGCCCGAGAAGATCGTGTCGCCAATCGCAAAGGCGTTCGGGTTGTTCAACCCGATCACTGCAAGGAAGAAAGAAGACGTGGGTTGTTTGATGCTGCTGCCACTGAAACACATGAACGAAGCCGGACTCTACTCGTGGAACAACACTCAGAAGTTGATAACTGTGCTAACGTCCGGGTGTCTGATTGCAACTCACTGCCGCAAGGAGGAGGGGGGGCTGAAAAAGCTAGAGCTCTACGAAGCATATGCGGCCTCTTCTTGAGCATGAAACCCAAAGATGGGTGACGTCTAAGGTGAGTACAGGTGCGGAGGATGCGGGTTCGGTTAAGCAGTCCAGTTCGTCTGCACTCACTAATCATTTCAAATCCTCTCGTGCGCCCTGTTGTTGCCAGAGTCGAGCGTCAATCCTCCGGTATCTTGACTGTGAGGGTTCCGAAACAGACATGGCTGTTTCAAAACGCTGAGCACACCATGTTCTTTAGTGCATTCGACAGAAAGGCAACCCAAAAGCAGAAAGGAGACAGAAAAGCCTACCATCTCCCGCAAAGCCGGTCTCCATGGTGCTCCGCTCCTGCGCAAACAGCTTCTGCGGCCGGGTCAGTGCGATGGTCTTCCCCGTACGCGCCAACTGTACCTTCATGCCTTTCTCGAATTGACCTGGAAGCAGAGAGATACGAGATCAATGGACTTTCCCATTTCGACTTCCACGACAGCTTTCCACTCGGCCTTTACAATGACGCGTTTACCCGTTTGAACTTTCGTCGTCAGCATTCGGGAATGTGAACACCGTGGTCCCAATCTGAAATCTGAACGGAACGGATGCAAGCAGATGCACTAGACACGGCGGCCAGAACCTGAGCAGGTCCTTCGGACAGGGCGAATGAACAAGGAGGCACCTAAGCAGACCTGCGAGATCGTACCTTTTCCGTTGGGCGAGAAGATAGGATATTCCTCATGAGCGGAGGAGAGCAGAAAGGAGGTCAAGCACAACTGAGATAAAAACGGATGTGCCGGAAAAGAAAGCCTCTGACTTGACAGAACCACCGCACTAGAGCACCACAGGAAAGAGACCTTGTTAGAAGTACACCGCAGAACCAAGAAAAACGGCGCTCTCAAGGACGGAACAGGGGGAAAGAAGGCGAAGGGGTAACTCTTAGGAAAGGGAACAAAAAAGGCAAAAGAAGGTAGTAACAACAAGGCACAGCGCGAGATCAAGAAGAAGCGAAGCTCAGCACCTGAACAGACGCGAACGAAGGCGACCTTGTCCCGATGCCGCGGGTCCATGTTGGCCTGCAGCTTGAAGACGAAGCCCGTGAAGTGCGGGTACTCGGGGCTGATCTCGCCGCGGCTGCTCTCGTACGCTTTCGGCGGGACCGCGTAGCCCAGAAAACTTTCTAGAAACAGCTCCACCTGCGAGGACGGAGACGCCCAGTCAGAGAATAGTTTGGAGCTGTGCCTTCTTTGATGCTTCGAAAGTGTTGTTGGAGAAGGCGTTGGCTTGGTCCATTTGGAATCACAGCAACTTTGCAAGTCAAGTGCTGTGTCCAAGAAATGTGGCTGCCTAGCTGCAAATACTGCGAGCCAGTATGTTCACGGAAACAACGGGCCCGCGAAACTTACGAACGAGCGTGCTCCTCCTAGACTGGAGCGTGTTCGCCTGGGCCAGAACAGTTACGGGACGTTCTACCTCAATAGAAGCCGCACATCAATGCTTGGAGATGGTCACAAAGCCGCAATCCGTAATCTCTACGTTGAATGAATGGCAACAAAGCCTCGTTCGCCTGCAAGACTCGAGTGCGTTGGCTCCAACTCGTTCGCAGCTCTACGTTTGCGTCTGCAGTAAGTTTAGCCCTTACCCTACTTTTGTATTAGGAAGCATGTTCCTCACCCCGAAGTTGTTCATCGCGCTCCCGAAGAACACCGGCGACAAGTCGCCGCTCCGCACACGGTCCATGTCCAGCGGCGGCGTCAACTCTTCTAGCAACTCTAGTTCTTCCTGCAGCTGTTCGTACAGGTCCGGTTCGATAATATCTTTTAGCGTCGGGTCGTCGCCCGCCAAGACCGTGCTGATAATCTCCCGACTCCCGTGAGATGCGTCCCGCTGGAAGAGGTGGACCTCTTTGCGTGGCCGGTGGTATACGCCGACGAACCTGCACAAGACATGTAGTCAATTTATGCTTTTGTTTCCGACCTGAATAAAGAAAGTTAGTCCATTTGAGGAAAGATTGCGCTGAAAAAGTCCCGACTTATATGGGACGCGTCCCGTTGGAAGAAATGCACCTCGTTGCGCGGCGGAATGTATACTCCGACGAACCTGCACAAGAAATTCTGTCGGCTTATGCTTTGATTCTCAATGCGAAAGAAAGATAACTTAAACCTGTTGAAAGATTGTGCTAGTAACCTCCCGATCCCGTGGAACGTGCTCGCTGGAAGACGTTAACCTTAATGCGCGGCTGGTGGTATACTCCGGCAAATCTGCACGGAATCTTTTCGGCTTAAGCTATTGTTTTTAACAAGTAAAAGTATACCACTATTTCTGATGGAAGGGATTGTGCTGGCAATCTCCCAACTTCCCAAGGGACGCGTCCCGTTGGAAGAGGTGCACCTCGCTGCGCGGCCAGTCGTACACACCAATGAATTGGCGCGTGAGTTTGATGATTTAGGGTTTGGTACCAACCAGGAAGCGGCTCTAGGCTTAACCCGTCTGAAAGTTGTCGGCCCGGTTGACGAGAATTGCCGGCGAACCTTGCGCAGCCAGTCAACAGAAAAGTTGCCTGAAGGCGGAAGCAGAAAGGTGCTGCCAACGGAACGTTGGTTGGTGCTTTTCAGAATGTTCAAGCATGTGAACGGTGTTGGTATGGTATCGAGAGCTGGAGCTTAATATGATGTTGCTCTACCCGGTATATGTTGTTGCTCTACCAGGTTTAAGTTCTCCTGAAGCGCAGAGCTGTCTGGTGCAGCGCACAGCGGAGCTGAAACTGCATCGCCCGAAGACTTTTGTCAAATTCACCACCATGAGCCCTTCTCGTAAGAACGCTTCTGACTTTTTCCAGGAAGAATATAGACAGAGGGCTCGACTTGCGACCTGTATCTTCAAAACTTCCTCCTCGGAGATCTACACCCACGCCCAAAAGGAGCAAACGCGACTGGCCAAACTCTCTTTCCCCAGAGAAACCACGCTTCGCGCTAACCAGCATCGCAAAACCTCGTGTATCCCAGAACCACAAGCCCACACTCACCGGTCGCCAGACCCAATCGGCCAGTTGACGGGGTACGTCTGCAGTGCGAACTCCTTTTCGATCTCGTCGAGCAACTCGAGGGGTTCTTTGGCGGGGCGGTCCAGCTTGTTCATGAACGTGAAGACGGGCAGCTTGCGCATGCGGCACACCTCGAACAGCTTCCGGGTCTGTGGCTCGAGACCCTTCCCCGCGTCGACCAGCATCACCGCGTTGTCTGCGGCCGCGAGCGTCCTGGAGACGGAATGGGGGCTTAGCCTTCTTTATTCATTTGTTACTCGTTCGGATTCTTTTCCATCTGTTCGGTCTTTGCTGGTATCGTGCGGCTCGAAGTCCTTCCCCACGTCGACCAGCATCACCGCGTTGTCTGCGGCCGCGAGCGTCCTGGAAAGGAACGCAGAAACTTAGCCTCGGTTTGTTTACTGTATGATTACATATTTGAATGTTTGTCTAATTGTTTTTTTGTTCGTTTGCTTTGTGCGGCTCCAGCCCCTTGCCCGCATCGACCAGCATCACCGAGTTGTCTGCAGCCGCAAGTGTTCCGCGAAGGAACGCCGCGAAGATTGCGTTCGGATTAATTTGATTGTCGTTTAGAGGTTCAAAAGTTTGTCCAGAAATACTCAGCCTCGTTTGTTTTGTACGGCTCCAGCCCCTTGCCCGCATCTATTAGCATCAGCCCGTTGTCCGCAGCTGCAAGCAACCTGGCGAGAGAAATCTTTAAGGTTTTCATCCCAGCAGATCCTATCTCTTTTCTATCATTAGACCTGATCCTGAGGAAACAAGATTACACTGGTGCGAAAGTGGGGCACTCCGTTGACGCTGCTTTTGTCGGGAAAGTTTGATGAGGAAGACCATATACTGGGGCCCAAAAACTGCCTGGGGAGTGGACAATCACCACCTTAAAATCGCCCGGACTCCACGAAAGGCGAAAAGACTTGTCAGTTGAGTAAGGAGCCCGAGAAGGAGCGGCACAGAAAGCAGGACACTTTTCGAAGACACTGCTGAGAAAAAGCGACGGCACCATCTCGACTCGGGAACCCCCCGTATACAAGGAGATCTGCGAGCTACCAACTGGATAGCTGACTACTTCGCGAGCAGGCTGCAGAGCAGGGATCGACTTACCTGTATGTGTCCTCTCCAAAGTCCGCGTGACCTGAAGAAAAACGACATAGAACTGGCATCAGAAGCCGTGTAAGATTGACAGCGAAACTCAAATGATCGCCAAAGACCAATCAAAGGTTCTCCTTGACAAATCGGACTACCAGGGCCCTGAAAAAGGAAACGGGGGGTAGAAAGCAAGGTGGAACCAGAAAGCCGGCAATAGACGGTCTGACATTTGCTACAAAACGAAATAGAGACTGTCGGAACGGATGGAGGGAAAACATGGACTTCCGAGTCGACATTAGAGACCCCTCCTAACTATAACCCTCTACAATCGACGGTCTGGGTAAAGTAAAACCACCAAACTTGACCGTCGATCGCAGGGATTTTAGTTGGGGGAGTAACCCAGGGAGTCCACCGAGAGTCCATGTTCTCCTTCCATCCGTTCTGTCAGCGTGGCTCTCGAGGGGCTCTTCAGTGACCCTGCAGTCAACGATTGCAGTATTGAAAGTGCGGCCACTCACCTGGAGTGTCGAGGAGGGTGATGGAGTGGCCCTTGGTTTCAAACACCATAGCCGTTGAGGTAATTGAGATACCTGCAGCCAAACAATCGTCAGTGAGCCTCGATTGACAAGGGATGGGCGGTCACATAGAAGCAAAAGTTTCCACATCCTACAACAGGATGCAGACAATCTGCCCCATCTTTGAGTTTCTGCTTTGCGCACTGGTTTCCTAGCACACCTGCTTCTAAATCACTTCTGGCACCGACCTTTCAACTTGGACTACAGTGAACCAGAGCGTCGGTGTGACTGGTTGCCAAGGCCAGTGTCAGGGCCTACGTCGGACATCCTCTTACTTTACAATCTCCGCCAGTCTAAGAAAAGCGGCAGATTCGCAGAGAACGAGATGCAGAATCCGGGACAAGTAGAACAAGGCACAGAATGACCGAAGGAAAGCCTACCCCTCTGTTGTTCCATGGCCATCCAATCCGATGTGGCGTGCCTGCTCGCCCTGCGCGCTTTCACCGCCCCCGCCTCATGGATGGCTCCTCCGTACAGCAAAAGTTTCTCCGTCTGCATTTGCAAGCACACGGTCAGGAGGGTGTTAGACAATTCACTCACACCTATTCCTTGCGAGCGGCTCAGGCGTCTGAATTTCGGATGATAATCATCTGCGGTCTCATGACCGCCAGCTGCTTAATGTAACCGTTGGAAATACACTTTGTTTCTTACCTCTGCCCTCCAGATTCTGCTAGTAGGAGTCCTGTGACGCTACAGCTAGCGGCCCAGTGCTGCCAGGAAGGCCCCACCGCCCTACCACACTCAGCTCAGTGAAACTTGGGACCAAAGGAAAATTGAGAAAGTACAGCCTCAAACACCCGATGCACAGAACTGAGCTGACCCGCACAGCCTTGTCTCAAGCCTTCAAATATTTCCACAGACATTGTACCTGAGACTGGGGGCTTGCATTTCTCTAGACACGGCAGGGCTAAAGAAATAGATCTGTCTTCTAGGATAGGAGAAACCTCTGAACTCCCCCGGTGCGGAAAGCTTTTAGAATGTCAGAAGGAGAGCGCAAAAGCCCAACCTCTCCACAGCAGGACTTAAAAAGAACTCTTGAATAACTTCACACAACTACCACCAAAGCCAGCTAAAACCACACCGTTGAGAGGGGTGGTGGGATATGTGAAAATCACGAGCGGGGTGCAACTCACCAGCGTCGTTTTCCCAGCGTCGGGGTGCGATATGATTGCAAAGTTCCGCCGCTTGGCCACCTCCGCCGCAAGGTCTGCCGCCAGCTTCCTCGAAGCCGCTTCCTCCTCCCTCGCTTTCCGCTCCTCTGCGCTTTCATCTCCCTCGCCCTCACTTCCCTCCTCATTGTGCACGCTATCCCTTGCCCCATTCTCTATGACGTCAGCGCTATCCCCTGCCCCGTTCTCTATGACGTCAGCATGACCATTGCTGACGCCGTTCGCGGCGTCCTGCTGCCCATGCAGCGCCCCATTCCCACTGGCCTCACCATTTTCTGCTCCTTCCCTCTTTTCTGATGTTGTGTCGGCTGTCGGAGCTTCCAGCACGGATCTACAGTGGAGAGCCCTTCTATGCCTCTCTGTCGGTGCTTTGGACTTTTGAGCAACATTTGGAGCTGTAGCGCCTGTCCGCGTCGACCTCAGACCGACGCCTTGGTGCTTTTGAACTGGTAGAGGACATTGACAGGGACACCTAGCCACAAGCCTATCTTCAAGCTTCCCCAACCTTTGAGGAAGAGGCCTCGCAGAGAGCTTGACGCTCGCTGTGGACGCCATGGGGGCTGCTGCAATGCCGACTCTGCAGGCTGCAGACTGCGAGTTCTGACAAAAACATATATTGAGCTCCGTTTCACACTGAAAGACAAACCCAATATTAAGCACACCTGCTCCGCACCCATATCCACCCTGACCTCCACACTAACTTACCCGTCCCAGTGCGGGTTACCTATTATTTAAACGGCTTATACCGTATTTATTTTCATCTTTCTTTGTTGGCCAGATTCCGGTCGAGCGAAGAAGATTGGATTCCGCCGGAGCCAAAGCCGCGCAACCCTGGGACGAGCGTACGCCCGGCCCGGTCCGCGGCCGGCTGCTGCGCATGATGGCGGCTCCACTAGAAACTTTTAAAAATGTAGGCAGCGAATCGCTGCAATCGCTCGGTTTACATGAAAGGCGGTAATATATTGGGTTTTTTCGCATGAATTTCAGTGCGCAGGTTTTCTGCATGATTTCAGTGCGCAGGTTTGAGAGCCTTATTATTAAGACCGTATATACGCTATGTATTTATTAGGCCTATGTATAAGGCGTATACCAGTGGCCTATGTATCATGTAGGCTTAGCCTATAAGTATTCACCTACCTAATTTGTGTTTATTACTTGAAATAAGTTGGAAGGCCCAGGTTCCTTTCGGAGCTGGGTCTTTTTCAAACCCAATCTAGTTGGTGGCCGCCCTGCCGGCCGCAAGGTACGGGTACGTCCGCGCCGCCGCAACCGAATTTCAATCGAATGGGCACGTGCAGGGGTTCAGGGTTTAGCCCCCAAAAAAATATTCGGGGCATCGAACCTCAAAACCCGTCGAAAAAGGAAGTCTGCGATTTCAGACCTTGAACCACTGAATTCAGCGTTCGATGGGCCGAACCGGGCTTAATAGAGTGATCCAGTCTGCATCGCCACTTCCCCCTTTTCCGAAGCCCCAGGGTCAATTGCGACAGCTCGGTACTCAGTACTGACTTTGTCAGTAAACCGAGCTAAAAAGGATAAAGCAAGCATGCCTGAAGTTCTTGCATTCCAAAATTTGGAGAGCCTCCCCTGCGCTTCTGGCAGTTCTGCTAAGCAGAGAATACCTGATACTCCTGATAGCATCATGCCCGCATCATGGCACTAGGCATTTCCCCTTTTGAGACGTTGCCCGACAACCTGATCCTTTCGCTTCCAAAAGGTTCTGGATCAGAAATCCTATGAAGCCTATGAGAAGCAACATGGGCGTCATCCCGACATGTTCCCCTACAGCTTCCCTGAGCTGGATACGGACAAAAGACCCCTGGCCATGCTAGCGCAGGTGTGCAAAAGCTTTCGCACTTTGGCCGATGATGAGATCCTTTGGGAGGGAGTTCGGCTTCTTGTCCGCCAGGAGACCAATCTATCTTTCTTCCGCGGTGGGATGCATATCAAACGAACTGAGTGGATTCGGAAGCTCAAACTCCACATTGAGGAGGATTGGGAAGTTGTTGGTATCATGAACGAGATTGAGTCTGCGGAGTGGTTTGATGAGCGGGTGGTGGACCTGGTGCATCACAACTGCCCTAACTTGGAGGACCTGACAATAACGTTCATCGAACCATCCCTCTATTCTGAAGAAGGAAAAGGACTCGTCAAACTAAGTCTCCATCTGCCAAAGCTCATCAAGTTTCGGATTGAGGGGGCACAGAAGTTAGATTCCATCTATCTAGCGTGTCCAAAGCTGGAAAGTCTGAGCATCACGGGGATCTGCAAACTACGATGCCTGGACCTCCAAAGAAACTCGGTTTTGCAACTGAGAACGGTGAATTTCACCAATGTCTTCATCCCGGAGCAAGTGCTGCAAAGTTTTATTGAAAGGGCAGGGAAAAGCATCATCTCTTTCAGTCTGGGGGTTTGGAACGGAGTCGATGACAGCAACAAGTTTATCATGGAGGGCATGCAACGAGACAGCCGGGGGGAGCCCTTTCTTGAGAGCTCTGATCTATCTCCAATTGTACCTCAAATTTTGGCTCTCATGGGTCTGCACATGCCAGAACTAGAGTTCCTGTTGTTGGGTGGAAATGAGCTGGTGCCTTTAGCTTTCCGATTGAACGACTTAGCACCGCTTGCCAAGGGCTGCCCCAAGTTGAGAAGTTTGGCCATCCGTGATAGTGACGTCCCTTCAACCAAGGTCACCATTGTCGCACATGGGCAGCAAATTGATCACACATATTGGGCTGCCACTAATGGTGCAAAGTTCTCTTCTTTGACTCAGTTCTCCATTGACGGGGCCCTCCCGCATGCTGACACCCTTCGGACGCTTCCATCTATGTGTCCAAAACTGGAGAACGTGGAGATCAAGTATCCACGTGACCATTCTTACAATTTCAGCACTTTACAAGTCCTTGCTAATCCCCTTGTCGAGGAGTTCAGACACCATTGCCCGATGCTAACACATCCTTACACGACAGGACAGAGATTTGTTGCAAAGTGGTAGCCCCAAATCAAGTAAGCTGACCATGACCAAGTCAGACAAGGAGTTCTGACAATGAGAAACTAACAAACCTTTGGGAAGGCTGTGGGATGCAACCAAGGTCACGGTTGAGATTGTCGCAAGTACGCAGATATCAAGGTTGTACTTCCAGATTTGGCCATGCAGGAAGAACAAAATCGTTGACGCCTTTGTGCAAGGAAGGTGTGTATCCAGGAAGTGGTGTAATGAGTTTCTCATTCGCGTTCAGTCATGTATACTCCAACCTCCATGGTCTACATTGCTACAGTCCCCGCCGGCTACAATGCACACTTTCATATATTATCATTGACGATCCGTGACTTAGAATGGTTCATGCACCCGCATAGTCGTTCAGCGAATTCTGGCAATCTCGTCCCGTGTGACAGCCCTAGCATATGCCTTTGCTTGGAGCGTGCAAGAGAGCGCGGCACTTTCACTCTAATCTAGTTAGATGGTAAATTACGGTTTATTAACGCCCTGAGCCACATAGAGCCATCGGGCAAAGTCTGCCGGTGAGACCGGGACGGTACAATGAGTTAACTCTGCAGCTTGCTACGGCTGCAAGTCATGTCCAATGTCTTACTAGCTAGATGGCATGCAAATCACTCTCAAATCTACGATCCACCTATACGATCTCATGCATACGGGATTTAATGTATGTGTATGATCTACAAGCTATGCAAATGACTACGGCGGGGTGGTTTCTACGGTGCATCACTCTAGAGGATATGGTCTGAACTAATCTAGTAGCCTCTATCGAGCCTACTCCGGGTTCTTCCCCTTCAGGAAGCGCTGGTAGATCACTTACAACTATCGAGACTCTCGCATTTGACTTTGCTCGGAGCGTGAAACCCCTTGCACTCCGATTGAATTGTTTATGCATCACAATCTGCACCCGAGTGTCTGCCATTTGTCACATGACGTGTGTATGTACATGTGTATTGTGTCAGTTAGTACCAATCTCCACTTCAGTGAAGAGATCTCCAAAGAGCTATGAAGTGTACGGCGCAAGGGTTTTTTGACGGCCGGAATAGTGCACATGGTATATGGTAACATAGGTACGAATTTGCTCTCCCCTTGTATAAGGTTTGCGTAACCAGGTTTGTTGGAGGGCAGTACGTAGCATTCTCGCTCTTAATGCGAGGAATGCGCTCGAGTTTCGATTTCAATCCACGACGATGGTCAACGGTCGCCCGGTGAGCTAGGGATTCAGCAAATAGGAAATCGAATATGAATTGTCGATCCTTTTGTTCTTTTAGGAACATGTATCGTCAATAAGGGAGGCAATTCCTTGCATGCGCAATGCTTCATCTGCGCAATAATTCATCTAACTTTTTGCATGAATTTGATATAGGTTTCAATCGGAGTGGAAAGCACATGAAGCGCTCCCAACTTGCGATACTTCGCGTCTTGAAATTTGCAAAGTGATCGGCCAAGGAAAGGGCACACGTCATCGTTCACGCCGCGGACTGAATGGAAGAATGTCCTCAGCTACTGCATACTGACCAATGAATGATAGACCTTGTGATTCTTGTCTTTTAAGAACGTCACAGTCATACGAATTGGCTCGAGCATGCACAAATGCCAACCTGTGTGTCTGCTCTTTATTCAAGCACTTCGCCATACGGACCGTATTGTTTCTTCTTCGGTGTTTTCCCACCCCAAAGCTCCTCCAATCTGTAGTATTGCCGCTCATCCTCGGTGAAAAAATGTACAATGATATTCCCTGCGCAAATACAGAGATGATGGCATTAGCAGCGAGTCGCTCGTGCAGTACTTCACGTTAACACAGGCACCCAGGTTACACCAGATCTAGATGACGCTAGACTGCAAGAGGAGGCACGAATCGTTAGAACCGGCGAGTATCACACAGGAAGCACTCAGACGACCTTGTGTGCTACGTCTGAATAAACCCTTCAACAAAACCAACGCTTACCTGCATCAACCAGTAGCCAATTTTGTCCGGGCTCTCCCTCCACAGCCGGAGTCAAGCCGTCCATGACCTCTTGGCATTTTCGACTTAACTGCACATCATACGATACTTGTGGTCAGACAGGGTCCATTGAGCGACGGCTGTTCTGGCGCAGAGGCAAGGAAGGTTTCTCGAAAGCGAGTCTTGCACTCTTTGCATTTGTTCTCGCTAATTTGGAAACAAAACGAAAACTCCCACAAGAAACTTCAAACCATGAGGTGCAACTGTGCTGGCAATAAATCTGCAGGGCTCGCCTACTGGAATGACCTTTCAGGAAGCTGGCGACAAAAAGCACGGTCACTTGTCGGCAACTGATTAAAACCGATGTGTCTCCACTCCACTGTGTCATAAGACAAAACTTCGCGGTTCTGAAGGTGTTCAGAACCTTCTCCAAGTAGCCGAATCAGGATCGAACCGAAAGAGGCAGAGAGAGGGCAAAAGCTGCTCATGAGAATCTGCAGTTGGACCATTTCGTGGTTCTCCTGCTCGCTGGTCTTTGTTCTGGATCGGTGCGTTGCAGACCTACAGGTCAAGCCCACGAGACTTGCAAGACAACAGATAGAAGTCTCTGCATAAAAAATGAACTTGTCGAACCACGCTCTCAACAAACAAATGAAAACGACTCGTAACTCAGACGCTCAAATCAAACGGCTTGGCGCTTTCGCAACAGGTTCGCCAGCCCCCTGACAAGCATCAAAGAATCCTCTTGCGCCCCAATCTATTGAGCTTTTGAGGCTTCTCACTGACCTTTCTAGTACGTTGCACTAGCGCTCACCTCTCGGACGACTGCTTCCGCCATGCCCCGTATGTGCCGTTCGGACCGTCCGGTGACAACCACCATGTAGTCCGTGAAGTTGCACTTCTCCCTCACGTGCATAACCTCGATATCCTGACCTCTTAACTGAGGTGTCAAGAAAAGCAGGATACTTCAGAATGGTTATGAGAGGACAGGTCGTGGCCCTCCTTGCAATTTTGGCGGCAAGAATCTGACGGTCAAGAAGACGTTCCAAGATTGATAACTAATTCGGCCTGCAAAAAGTCATGAAGGCGCGCAAAGCATTCTTCTGAAGACTTAGATTGAGAAATGCACCCTTAGTTGACACCTGTTGACTAGCTTGGAGTTAGAAGAATGGAAGAGATGGAAAGGTTTATCCTAGAGCTTTTCTTTGTGGAGCTGGAAAACATTGACTGATGGAGGCTTCCTCAATTGACTGGCTTCCTTTTCAGCAAAGCATGAGTGATTCTACTCTGAGGATATGGTCCTTACCGATTCAAGTATCTTCATGGTCTCTTCAAGCTCCAACACATGATAATATTCTCGCTCTGGATCCGGATCTTTCTCCTGTCGTTTTCCAGCAGGTAGAAGGCCTCCCTGTTCATTAGCCTACAAGAAAAAGAAAAGTACTCAAACCAAACAACGAGCCTCGATGAGATGATTGGAACCTGGGACGCAAAGAAAGAGCAGAGAACTGAGCTCTTGGAAGTTAGGCCATCCTTCTTGTCCTCCCCCAGCTTGAAGTAGAGAAGCCACCTCAGATAACATGTATAACCCGAAATGTTTAAACGATCAAAGATTTCCAACACTTTTCTTTGTGCTCATCATGATATACTGAGCATGAAAAGTGGAGCATAAGCCCTTGTCATTCTTCGATATGAGCCAGTAGCGCTATCCGTACGGCCAGCGTCCTTGATGCTTTTGTGATACATTGAAAAGCAATCGCAGGTTGCCAAAGAAGGACGATCAGAATCACATATAGTCCCTACAGATGTTTGTTTTACACAACTAACCTTGAGAATTGGGCTTACCACCTCCGCTAACTTGCGTTCCGACTTCTCCTCCTCTTCCTTTCCCTCATCCAAAGCACTAGTTGCCCGTTCATCTGCGGAGACGCTCCCAACTTCATCTTCGTTGTCCCTTGGAGTCTCTCCATCATCAGTATGACTACTTGATGCTACTTCTGCGAACGATGAAGTGGTGTTATGCAAGCTTTGGCTGCCGCCCGTATGTTCTGGTTGCTGGACTCCGCTGGCACTTGTCTCTGCCAGCAAAGTCTCGACATCTGACGTGGTGACATCGTTTTGATGAAAGACCGTTCTGTTAGCCTCTGTGCTAGGTTCTGCTGGTTGCGCACCACCAGCTGATGTGCTCAATTGTCTGATAGCCAAACTGGCAGCTGCAACGTTGAGTTCCCTGCGAAGTGCGCCTGACGCCAAACCACCTGGTCTGAAAATGTTGAAGTCACTCTTTCCCGAGAGCAGACAGTCAACCACCTTTCTACACGCTACACCATTCACTTCCTGATGATTATAAGGCAGGGAGGGCACCGCGACTAGCGGTGGCGCTTTTCTCAGCACTTCTGGAGCGATGCCAAGAGTGTCGTTCAAAAGTTCTGCCAGTGGCTGCCACCATTGCATTCCTCCGAGCACCCGGAGCCCAGCATGATGCCTTGCATTCAACGCCATCGCTGGAAGTCGTCTTCAGAAATGAATTCAAAGCACTCCTCATGAAGGAATCCGCATGACTTCGTTGTGTGCATAAAGTTCCACATGTGCCATGGCATTGCATGGTGCTGCCAGTGCAGTGGCACCACCTTCAACCAAGTTCAAGTTCAACTTCTAGCGGAGCCGCAGACGAATGATTTCATAGACTTGTCTACGTGGCAGCGTCTGAGTTGCTGCCAGTTAGAGACATGAAAATGTTTAGATGGACCCGATTAATTGGCGCTCTGGTGTGACTTCGCATCGTGCTGCTTCTCTTCAGGCTTCGCAGGCCTCCTGCACAAGCAACATTTGGCATGCTGACAGTGATGCAAGAGGTGTCTGGAGATCTCTTTGAATCCTGAATCGACAGACCGAAGGGCGGTCGTGCTGGTCGCTCAATGCCACTGCACATGGGGACGTCTTTCAGAAGGGCCCCGAGCCTCGCGAGAAATGAAAGTTTCAGCTCGGGGACGAGGCGTGAGAGCGGCAGTGGATTTGGAAATGCAGAATTTGACGCCCGTGCAGCAGGGCAAAGTCTCGCATCTGTTCTCAACAATCCAAACAACAGAAGTGGTGCAAGTCAAGGGACCGATCAGTCATGGGGGGGGTGGTTATTCACATCAAGTGCGGACCCGGGGCAAGAGGTCGTCCCGCCGCTGGCTCCAGGCACACTTCCTGAAGTTTCTAGAGCTGATTTTGACGCCTATTTGAGGGGCATTGGTGACAAGTACAGCCGCTTTGTGGACATTCAAGAGCATGACAGCCGGGAGCAGAGTAACAAGGCGAGTGCCTTGGGCTCTGGAGTGGCGGGAAATGAGCAGGATACAAAGAAGGCGGGGCAAGTTCAAGGGGAGGGCCTCCTGGCGTGTATGCGAGAGATTCCGTCGCTGTACTTTGACGAGGACTTTGCATTGGAAAGGGCCGCCACGTTTCAAGCCGCCTGCCCCTACTCCTCCGTCCCTGCAAACATGATGCTCCAGGAGAAACTCTCACATTATCTAGACCTCGTAGAGGTCCACCTTGTGAAAGAGATCTCGGCCCGGTCAGATTCCTTTTACGAGGCGCTAGGGGCACTCGAGGAGCTGTACGGCAAGATCATCGCAGCGAATGAGAGGGTGTCTGTGCTGAAGTCATCAATGCAGGAGATGGATACGGGGCTGATTGAGTCTGCGAGGCAGGTGCAGAAGCTGGGGCTGAGAAAGGATAACCTGTTGAAGCTGCACCAGAAGCTGAAGCTCGTAGACCACGTGCATCAGTCTCAGGCGACTCTGCGGCTGGTGAGTCACCCTTTCGACGGTGCATCATTGCTCTACAATTAGTAGGCGCCAAGTAGAATGCTGTTGGGAATAAGATACAATTCTGGCCGCCTTGGAGGCTGTTCTGAAGATAGATATAACATATAGCTAGCGCGTTGCTCCTCAACGTGGTCGATGATGTGTTTTGTACTCTGCAGTTGGTGGCATCAGGGGACTGCTCCACTGCACTCGACGTGATTGATGACATGAGGAGAATGCTGGTGAGATATTGTGTTTGGTTTTCTGCTGTGGTTTCCCTTTCGCTGTGCCCTTTCCAAACTTTTGGAGTCAACCATTTGCAAATTGGTGCAAACTGCATTGGTCAGCACCTGTCAAGCATGTTCTGTTGTGAATTGGCGCTTTGCCATCTAAAACGAATTGAAGTGACCAATATATTGGTTATATTTCCATCAGACACTGCAAGACATGTAACATGAGGACTCCCCTCTCAGCACGGAGAAGCTGGCAGATCACTTCAAACCCGCCAGTGGACTTGTTTTAGATGGTTCAAGAAGATTTGTCACCAGCTTCATTTGCGCGTCTTCAGGCGCTATTTGACACCCCAGAGGCTGAAAGCAGTTGCAGACATTTAAGCGTCTGCAGTTGTTGAGCTAACTTTAGTGAACCTCAAATGTGTGTTGCAGGAAGGCGATGAGTTGGTCGGTTTGCACTGCTTCCGACGACTGGGGGAAGAGCTGGACACATCGGTCGAATCCGTAAACACGTAAGTTTTGCAATGGTGTGCCAGCGTGCTTGTCTCCGCTGCCCCTTTGTTTGAGTTCGGAAAACAGGGGTTTCACTTCAGCTTTTCTGAGTACGATCACAGTATCAGAGCTTGTTCTGGATTGTTCAATGCACCTCCAGCTGGACGAATAATCAGAAGCACGGGCAAGAGATTGAAGACGCGGTGTATGCCTGTTTAGAACTTGTAGATTTTCAGCGTGGAAAAAGATCTCGATACTTCTCACAGTTTCTTTGTTGTTTGCAACATTTCACAGCAGTAGTCTAATGATGAGGCTTGTGTGCTTACAGCGTAATGGCTGCGGACTTTGTACGAGCCGCTGTGCATGCGACAGGAGATCTTGATCCCGCTGCGATTCTGGAGAGCTTCCAGAACCGGGAAAAACTAGGCGAAAGCAGGCCTGCGGTAAGCCTGCAACTGTGGTATTTCAATGCAATTTCAGGTACTGGTCATCACAGCTTGACCAATCTGTTTGTTGAGGTTGCTTGTGACTTGACCCCGGGTGGCGCTTCTTCTTACTGAAGCAATCTTCGAATCGTGTTTCGAAGTGGTATTTTCGGCAATGTTGTCTTCACTGTGAGAGGTGGTAATTGAACGAAACTAGCAATCGAAACGGTTTTGGGGTTAACATTCGTGGCCGTGGCCCCTCTCTTACGCCACAAGAGGTAGATTGTGTTGGTCATGAAGAGGATGATACTTGTGACATTATAACGTTCCAATATCTACCTGTAATACAGGTCACGGAGGAACAAGTCACAGAGGACATTGCGTCGATCCGCGACTCCCTGCTTCCGCTTCTAGTTGGCCTCATCCGAACGGTAAGGGGACGCGCGCCCTTCTGTACTTGGTACTTACTGCCCTCACTTACAAACCTACAGACTTTGTTTGAAAAATGGATCTTTGACCGAGCATCCGAGCATCCGGCTTGCGCCTAGTCACATCAACCGCAGTTCTCCCCCAGTTGCGCTGCCAACACCGATGTGCATTTTCATTTGTAGCTTGCATCGCTCCTTACAGCGGCATCTGCTTCGCCAACAAGTTGTTTTGCTCATCGTGGATCACTTTATCCAGATGAAATGCCATCTGTAAATCCGATTGCACCTGCTTTATCTCGAGACACCAGTTCTCGAAAGTGGTAAAAGGTTCTCACGAATGTTTGTTTTCTCCGCCAGGCGCGGCTCCCCCCTGTATTGCGGGACTACCGCGAGGTCCTGGTGACGGACATCAAGGCGTCCATCAAAGTGGTCGTCGCTGAGGTTCTGCCGATCATGTGGGCGCGCCCGGGGAACGGCGAGATCGTGCACGAGGATGGGGACGGTGAGACTGCTGGCCGACGCTAAATGTCCTCTTCTTCCGGCCTCTGTATACGACTCAGTAGGATACCAAGGGTTGAGGCCAGTCAACCTTGCACCGTCAATCCACGTGCGAGTTCCAGGATGCAGACGGAGAATGGAGACAGTGAACGAAAACCATGTGTTAGAGGTGTTCCTCTACGGGGTTTGTGTAGGAAGCAGAAGGTTGTCAGCAGAATGCTGAAGAACCCAGGCCACAACTTCAAATTTCCTAACGTCCACTCTGCTGACCACATCCTTCAGCATGTGGTTCTCCCCTTGGCGAGGATTTTGATCACACCCAATCAACGACAGCCAGAAGGCGGGGTTGTATTTCGATTTTCCCCCTGCAGGAGCATCGAATTTGTTGGATTCATGGCCCCACTTAGCCCCTAGGTCTGCGAGCAGCTTTTATGGAAAATCTAGACCGAGTTACTCCGATCAGACACAACATCTTTCGTTGAGCCGCGTAACTTTCCACGTGCAGAAAAAGGGCTGACGCTCGCGGCGCGCTTGAGAGCGCTGACGGCCGAGAACTTCGTGAAGCTTCTGTCGGCTGTCTTCGAAATCGTCGAGGTGCGTGGTTCGACTATCTCTGCTTATCGGGAACCATTATGTAAAGCTTTCGTGTGCATCCCGCTTGCACTCATCATCGATGCACTGCTTTCCTCTTGCATACACAGAGGTTTCCGACCTGGGCTATCGAATCAGCATAAGCCTTGGGCCTCGAGCTTTTTGTTCTTAGTCTTTTGACTTGCTTTTTCGTGTCCGTTTCCCCAAGGCCTTGAGGTCAAGTAACGTTCACACGACTGCTTCCTTTCTCACGTCCATTCGAACGAGCCATTCTTTTAATCGACGTTTCCCTTTCCACGTCCAACTCGATACACGCTATGAGGCGAACCATCCCCTCCTTCTACTTTCTTTTTCCAGGTCCGATTGAACGCGCTATGAAAGTGAACCGTTCCGTCCTTCTACTTTCCTTTTGCAGGTCCGGTTGATACGCGCAATCGAAGTGAAGACCGTCATTGAGCAAGTCATGACCGGTCTGGACGACGCCCCGGCCTTGGCCAGCTCCTCCAACGGCTCTGCCAAGAAGGGGGAGCGAGGAAGCGATGCGGCCGATGCGGGCTCCAAGCAATTCAAGTAAGCACGTAATCTATGAAGCCCCTACTAAGTACATCATAGTCCCCCTTCCACGCCCGCGAAAGTTGCGTGAAGCTGGGTCTCCTCGCAAATTTAAGCAGGCTGGGCGAGCTGGGCGAGCTCAGAGCTTCCCAGTTTTGTTTAGAAGCGCCCGCCCCTTGCTTTGGCCAGTACTTCGCTCACACAGTGATCGTTGTTCAGTATTGGAGACGAACATCGTCAAAAGGCAATCAGTTTCGCAACATCTTAGGAGTTCGCCGTTGCTTCAGGAGATTTACTCTCTTTGCCACTTCCTCGTCGTCCAGAATGGAGGTGCTTCGGGAGAGTTCGGAGTCTATCTTCGCCGCGTGCGACGCTGCTCACGGGCGGTGGGCCAAGCTGCTGGGAGTGCGGGTGCAAGTCCATCCAAAGCTCAAGCTGCACGAGTTTGTGGCCATTTACATCGCCACGCAGAACTTCATCGTTGCAACGGAGAAGGTGAGGAGTCGAGCAGTGGGCTTAGCAGAACCATGTAGTGTCCCGCCTTGAAGGCGGTTTGCATCATACAGGAGACGTCAACTGCACTCGAGGCCTGTTCCGTGATAAGGAGCACGTCAACCACAGAAAGACGCGGAGACAAGTCAAGACGAAAGACCGAAACGAATCTCAGTAAAGCACGTTCCATCTGGCGATTCCGCGGTCGATTTGACTTCACGTGGCGGAGATTACTGGGGCTGAAGTGGATGCGTTATTGGTCGGAGAGAGGAAGGCCGTGACCTCTTTGAAAGCAGTCTTGACCATGCTCTTGGTGTTGGTGTGAGCAGGTTGGAGGACGCCCTGGGTATGCGATCCGCGGCACCCTCCAGTCTCAAGCACGGGACTTCGTCAACGCACAGCACAGCAGTCGAGTAAGCGACCCGTCTTCTGAGCTTTCTTTTGCCTACAGCTCGAAACAAACAGCGTGCTTGCTCGTCAAACCGACTCACCTTGATGTTCATAAGGTACTTCGTTGATTGATATGTGCCGTTGTCCAATTGTCTTCGAGATAGCGTGGCATTGAGGCTGTATTAGTTTGAACTAAGCGCCACTGAGACGTCGATCGTCGGCGTCTCCTTTTGCAACTCTTGCTGAAAAGACCTTCGGCAATCCAGTTTCTTTGTAGGACATCTGTTAGCCGACTTCGTTTTGTTGGATCTAGAAACTTTGTAGAGGTCCTCCTTCTGTAAACTGACGCCTGCAATCCATTCATAAAGCGGACGGACCCTCGCTGCCGCTACTGACGACTCTGGTTTCTATGCAGATGTCAAAGATCACGGCCCTCCTCGACGCCGAGAACTGGACGGCCGTCGATGCACCGGACGAGTTCCAGGCAATCGTCGACAGCTGGACTTACGAGGAGGAAGCCCACGTGGCCGAGCCGGATCCTGCAAACGGGCAAGCCGCTGACGAAGAGTCTGTGGAAGGCAACGCGGAGAACGGGGCCGCGACAACGGCGGAGCAAACGGTGCCGCCTGTTGTAAACGGGGAGTCGTATGCAAACGGAACGGAACAGCTGTTGCCGTCGAAGCCGGGGAGCGAAGCGGAATCATCGCAAGTCGAGCAGAGTCAAGATGGTGGGCAAGGCTCGGCCAACGAGCAGGCGACAGGTGGCGAGCCGGCGGCGAGGGACGCGGAGAACGAGCAGCCCGCGCCTAGTTCTTCCCTGCCGGAAGGATCCCTTAGCCGGCACAGCAGCTTCGGCGCGCTCTCGCGGACGCCGTCCGAAACGGACGTCACCGAAACTGCCGCGTCCGAACCCGGGGGGTCGGTTTCCGAGGCCGCTCGACCCCCCCAGTCCGAGTCCACGTCAGGCGGGGGGCGGTTCCCGAGGCGCCGCGACCCCCGCCAGCGGCAAAACGGCGGCCGCGGCCTCGGACAAAGCCGATCGTGGTGCGGGGGCAGGAGTTTGCGGCGGTGCAAAGCTCCCTGATGCTAATGAAGATTCTGACGGAGTATCTGGACGTCGCGGAGCAGCTGCCGGCGATGGCGACGGAGGTGGTGCATCGGGTCGCGGAGATCCTGAAGCTGTTCAACAGCCGGAGCTGCCAGCTGGTGCTCGGGGCCGGGGCCATGCAGGTGGGCGGGAGCTTTCAGGTGTAGAAACTAGGGTACTTCAAGGATAAGAGTTTTTAGCGTTTGTAATTTGGCAAAAGTTGTCGGGTAATGGAATTTTATCAGAGCGAAGGAAGTCAGCCAGCGTTTCGTTTATACTTTGGGTCATGCAGGGGGGCGGAAATCCCCGGTGTGTAAGATCCCTGATTCTCAGGGTAAGAGTACTTAGGGTTTACGAACTGCAGAAATTGTTGGTGTTGGAAAGTTATTAGAGCGAAAAGGCGTGTAGCCAGCGTTTCGTTTCTACTTTGGCCCATGCAGGTGGGCGGGCATGCCTGGAAGGGGGGTCAAATTCCGTGGAGCTTTTTGATGTCTCCCCCTGTTGAAGGCTCTGTTGGCTGTCTTTGCAGGTCTCCGGCCTCAAGTCGATCACTGCGAAACATCTCGCGACGGCCAGCCAAGGTATCAGCCTGTACATAGCCCTCATTCCTGGTGAGCTTCTCGCCGTGCAAACTTTCACTCTGTCCTGTAACGCTCTGGCGATGACTCGTTTTCCTGCATTGCCTCCTTATATGCTGCATTGAGTATGATGAACTGCAGGTCCTGTCTTATGTCGATCTCTCTGATAGAGAACCAGTGAATCATTCCTTGCTTGAAATACAGGACGACCATTCTCATTTTGCTGCCCCCAATCGGCCGATCTCGTGTTTTTGCATCTCGGGCCCTCTTTCACATCAGGTTTTCTGGTCTTTGATATAAAAATCGAGTCAGGTGTACCGGAAATTTGAGTTTACCAACGGAAGCACTTGCTTGGTCGTCCAAATATCCGACGGCTGCTGTCCACGCACATTCCGGACGCCCGCAAGGCGCTTCTACTGTCCGGGGTGGTCTCCTGTAGTCTTTTGGTCTTAGAATCGAGCCAGGTCTATCGAAGGGTTGGGTCTACTAAACGGAACCACTTGCTGGGTCGTCCAGATATCCGGCGGCTGCTGTCCGCCCACATCCCGGACGCCCGTAAGGCGCTGCTGCTGTCCGAAGTGGACCGCGTCGTGAACGACTACCGCGTGCACCGCGACGAGATCCACTCGAAGCTGGTGGCCATCATGCGCGAGCGGCTACAGGTACGGCACGTTCCGTCATTTCGTGGCACGACCTGTGAATCTTTATGTTCCCGAACAGCCACGTGCCCTACAAAACATAGATCCCGAGCAAATTAGTCAAATACCGGTTCTAATATCTATGCGATCCCGGCCATAGTGCGTAAGCGGCTACAGATACGGCGCTTTTCGCTATTCCGTTGCAAGACCCGAGTGGATGTCATGTGGCCCAACAGAAGTGTGCTCTATGAATTGTAGGCCCCGAGCAAACAATGAGATAAACCGAATGCTAAACCCACGGGCTCCGCAACCCAACCCACCCTAACCACCGGGCCAACCCCACCCGTCCTCTGGGCTTTTCTTTTAAGCAGACTGCGCTGTGACGCCTCGTTAGAGTTGCCAAATTGCTTGCACGGACTATGTGACTCGATCGCTGCACGTTTACCGGACTGCTCCGGTTCACCTGTGACTGCGGGGCATAGACTACCAGTTAAGACGCGGTGCAATACGTTTTGAGGACTGCGCAATTGTGCACGAAGCTTGCCGGCCGATTCACATTGAAATCCTTAGGGAAGGGAAGGTTGTTTGGTGTGGAAGAGAGGTCCCTTGTCCCCGTCTCGCCTTTATATCGACTCATCTTCGCTCACTCCTCTGTGCTTATGATTCGTCCTTCCAATAGATTCGCAGACTTGCAGACTGTGCTTTGCATCAGGCAGCGAACAGCACCGCACAGCCCACGGAGAAAGACTCGGGCTATGGTCTTGACTATAAGCTCGTCCGAGTCTGCCTAGGCGAGCAGTCTTTTCTCCGGAGCTTCTAAGTTCCCAGGTTCGCAAAGTCCCGTTTGCTCGCTTTCGAATCCGTTCCTTGAAAGTCGCCACATGGCTGCAGGTGCATCTAAAAGTTCTTCCACAGTTGGCGGAGCACTGGAGCAAACCGGACGACAGGGACGCCGAGCCCAGCAAGTTTGCCACGGACCTTGCGCGGGTGAGTCACTCCCTCGCTTTCACGAGTTTTGTCTCAGACGGTGTGTCTGGACGGGCCCGCCAAAAAATACCCAGTTTTGCATGAATGGACATCCCGTTCTGCATAGCCTTTTACTTCGGGGGGAAAAGAGAAGGAAAAGAGAAGGAAAAGAAAAGAAAAGGAAAAAAAAACCCGAACCTTCCATCATTAGAGTGCTACGGAAACCAGATAGACAACCCGTTTTGCATCGACAAACCGAAGGCAGGGTAAGTGGTAAACAAGTAACAGAAATAAACAGATTACCAAACTAAAACTTTACACGATGTCCCGTGAGATTCTCGAGTGCCCTGTGGAAAGAAGTTTGTGTCTGGCTGCGGGTCTCCGTAAGAGGAGTACTATTTGAACGGACACTGCCTCAGGTCGTGTTGTTGGGATGATGTTGCTTGCAAGCTAGGGCGGCAAACTCACCTTTCGGTGGGTTTCGATTACTTGAGCCTTGCACTCTCCGCTGCGTTGAATTGTGCTGACAAGCCCGTTCTGCCTGTGTGCACGGTTCTCAGCTGGTCGTTTTGGACTAGGTGCCCATCAAACGCATGGGCTGTCGGAACCCATGCAAAAAAGCCCGTGATGAATGCTGAAGCAGATTTACAAGGTCGTAGCAAGACCCACGACGAAGTCGTCCTTTCGAGGTCTTTAACCTCTTCCCTCGTCCGACTGCAGGAAGTCGGTATTCTTTACAAGGTTCTTCTACCCTTCCTTACCGATGCTGAGCTGCGGTCCATCTTTACGTGAGTGTTCTGTTGAAGCTCCTCTCCTTGCTAGCGTAACATCCGCTAAAGCCTAGCGGCCTCTTAAAAGCTGCCAAGCCGTCTGAGGTTGGCTTCATGACCGGCTTATGCGGCCTCGTGCCTCCACTCAAGCCTCGTATTCTGCAACGTTGTGATACAGATCAAGCAGATCATTTGTACGGCTATCCTGTTCCACATTGGCGCCCGACCTGTTCTTTGTGGCCTCTTTAAAGGCAGCGCTTTGTGTTGTCAGGAGTTTTTATTCCAAAATACTATACCCAATATGTTGCTACTCCTTTTGCAGGCGTGTTGTTATCCTTTTCCACACGCAGCTGACGGAAGCATTCTCGAAGGTCGACGCAAGCACTCCGCCTGCTAAGCGAAGGTGGGAAGTCAACCGAGAACCTGTTCCGCAATATGTACTGAAACGTCTCTCGTGAAGCCAACTTCGACTGCAGTTCGGTTATTGCATCCCAATCCAAGCACACATTGACTACATGAACAAAGCAGGAATTTCAAGAGACTGAACATCGCTTTGACTGTCGCAGGTTGTACAGGGACGTCAAGCATCTGTTGGAGGGTATCTCTATCCTGCCGATTATGCCAAGCATGGTCGGGAAGCCGAAAGACTTGGATACATTTATGCTTCACCGCTTTGGAAACCAGCCCCCGCCCTAGCAAAGTTGCTAGTTTCTAAAGGCGGCTTCCTCAGCTTCTATGCCGCCAACCCGACATTATCAAAGGGTTTGTCGTGTCTCCTTTTAGTCGAAGCGCGCAGCTTACCTCCAGAAATCTTTTACGGAATAAAAGCGTTTGGGATGGGAAGGCATGACTTCTTTTCATATCATGGCAGCTTTCATGATGGCTGTATCCACGTTAGGAGCCCATGCGCCTCCGGGCTATAAAGATTTGCATGCAAGATTATGTGGGCCTCATTTGCTCGGCTTGCTCTTGTGTATCTATCACGCAGTGGCATACTACGTATTGTACATAAAGTGCTGCCGTCACAAAAGCAACACCGTTTGAGAGAGGCCCGTGCGTGTATACTCGCGTGTGTATTTGAGGCGGCCACTCATGCGGTAGTTTAGTGATTGGCCGCGTATATCATGCAAAGTATCTAACATCTAATTATGCATGCGCGTGGGCGGCCCTAATATACATGGACGTGTGTGAAGCATGTGTACCCAGCTGCCGCCTGTATGAGCTCGTCGTTTGACTCTTTCAAGTTTTTGGCGCAATTTGCGGCAAGCACGAATATTGCTGGGCGCAAGGCAAGGAGCTCAGATGAAGCAACAATGATCGTATTAGGGTGACTTTAAACTATCATGCAGCGTTTGGAGTCTCCTTTAGAAATAAACGGTTTTGACGTACGTCCTGTGAGCTTGTTGAAATGCGACCAGCTCTCTATTCCAGCTCATAGGCATCGACTTCGAGCCTCCCCCAACATGACCTAACGTAATAAGCACGAGCGCTTATGCGCACGGGCGTCAAGGAGAATACAAGTTACATAAAGTACATCACGTGGCTCGTGACCTCGCAAACTCCAACCAGAATCTATCCCCATTCCTCTGCCAGCATGGCAATTTCTAGGTGACTCCATGCAACATACGATGTGTAAACGGCATATGCTTGCGCGCGCTTGATCTGGGCAGCAGGTAACGTCATCCCGCCTTCATGGGCCGGGTTAAGGCCTGCGGATGTGACGTCACCTTGTCCAGCAGCATGTTGCTGGACGCCAGCTGGTCAATGACCGCCTCTAGCTTGTTGAGGACCTCGTCCGTACGCAGCCTGCGGTCCGAAAAGCGTCCTTTTCGACGGGTATCGACGAACCCATCAATGATCAAGTCCAGAAATTGTACCGCAGAACTCGATTACGCAGAAAAGGGATGTCGTATGGAAAACTACTTAGTGGCACACTCCAACTGAGGGAGGCTGTAGCCACAGACGGATGTACGAGAGTCCGCGTTCGCCGCGCAAAATAGAATGCGAACGATTCGTATGCAACACTATCGGCTCGCGAGGAGGTGAGAGAGCTCCCCAGCGAGAGCTCGAGTATCAAAGCTGGAGATCGAGGCGGCAAAGTGGCGTTCAAATGGAATATCACAGCAGTCGCTGGAAAAGGACTCGATAAAAAGCGGCCGGCAAAGGACTAGCACTCACCCGTCAACTCCAAGCATAGAGTTGCGACGCTCCGAGGAAAACGAGCCTGCAGGCGGAAGTGCAGGGATCAGGCAACATCTCCTTCGCCACCACAATGCCCGTTGCCGAAGACTTGCGGGAAGCGGAGCTTTCCTCCAGAACGTGGCAAGATGCGCATGTGACCCCGGCTCCGGACAAGAGCCTTCTGCTTCTTTTGACGAAATCGGTTCGCACCGAAAACGAAAACTCGCTTAATGCTGAGACAACAGTGATACTTTCATTAAGACGGACGGGCAGCTAATTTCAGAAAACGACTCAAAATGTGAAACGATCACGACTTGTAGAATGTGAGACATAGAGCTTGCCTGACGGCCGCCTCTCGAGCGGCGGTAGCTGCTCTTTCCGGGCTGCCGCATCGTCCTCCCCACCGGGGTTCCGGCGGAAATCCTGCATGGGAATTCAACCGCTGTGAAAACCCTAATGCAGCCCGCAGAAAGTGGAAACACCAAGGAAAGCCGCTCTCTTTTGTATGGGAACACGAGCATTCGAGAAACAAAGGCATGATGGCATAATGGACATAATAGCCGCAATCGTAGTCTAGAAATTCGGCACGGCTTTATAGGCGGTACACAACGCAGCTTGCTTGTAGAACCGGACGATAAGGCGGGCTAGCACTTCAACAGAATCGTCGCATTGAGATAAAAGTAGACTGTTTTGCCTCTTTTGCTGTTTTTTTGACGGTCACTCCGGTCGGTCAGCCCGCCAGCGGCATTAGTTGATGCTGAAAAACCTTAGGGCAAAGCGTTGGCCAAAAGGATGCATAATGAAACGAGCTCGTCATTGCTGCTGCCTCGATCAGTGATAATGCCGGACGGTTGTCCCTTGCACCACTGCGTCAACCGACGTTGATTGACTGTTTACGCATTCAAAAGCCGATCGATGGCTCCATTTAATTACCACTCTGCTTCATTTGATCACAAAGAACCAATAGCATGTAAGGTCAAGCTGGATCCTCACCTGTGCATAGTCGCGGGCCAATTTCTCAACGGCCGCTTCACTCCTGACCCGCAAAGACTCCGCCGCCGCAGCGTGCGATCTATAAAGGAAGACAGAATAGAAAAGTGGTGAGACCAATGCTGGAGGTGGCGAGCCGCTTGGCCGGAGACGCTTTAGGAATTAAACTAGGACTAGAGAGCTCTGATTTTCGATGATGTCCAAAGACGCTGCCAACCAGAGTCCCAATGTCCGCTGCGCCAAAGGCATTTCCAGGCTCGTTTTACAGGTAGCCTCGACCAAAGCGCGCACACCAATGAAAGAGCTTTTAAGCACTCAACAAGGGCATGCACACAACATACATAACACGTACAACCGATACAGTGTAGGTATACGTTTGCAGGGTCCTTGGACTCCTCTTTCGGACCTCTTTCAAGGACAAACGCACAACAACACATACAACACATACAGTGTAGACGTTTGCAGGGTCCTTTGACTCGAGTTTCGCACCTCAGCGCGTGCACTTCCAGCTGCAGATCCTCTGCCCGCCTCTTCCAGTGTTGCGCTGTTGTCTGCACCAGAGAACGTTTGCTGTCGGGATGAAAAGTCTCGAGACTGAGCCCCAGGGAACTAGGCAGAACAATTGGAGGTAAAATCTGGATAAGGTGCTCTAGGAGGACGTAACAGGGCTGCCGCTACCTAGTCTCATGTACACCTTCCTGCCAAGGGGGCCTCTCTTGAAAGGCGTAGGCTTGTAAGAACTGTATATTGGATCACACTATCGACAGACTGGTTCACTCAAAGGTTGTGACTAAAGAGAGAGGGTAGAGGTCAATGCAAACAGCCATACCGGCCTCCACTCTTGGGCTCCTATGAACCGAGGCCCAGAATGTTCAGGAAATTCCACTTGTTCAATTGACCTACGGAATGCATAGCTATGCTAAGTGATGGGGGCAGGGCAGTGAATGACAGAAGCGTGCCGTCTCATGCCACGACTTCTCAGCACCAGGTTGGCAAGGTATATTGCCATCTGAAAACCCCGCGTTGAAATAGCCAAGAACATTTCACCTCATGTCCCTGCTTTGCCATCAAGCGTCACGAACCAACGCCTTCTGAAACACGTGCTTGCGTCTATCGACACTGCGTAACTCCCTACATTCACTGCACCAGCCATTTGCTCCAAAAACGTGAACGACAAAAACCAGAATTCTCATAAACCAGCCGCGGCTGAAAGACCCTAAAAGGAAGAAAGAAAGAAAGCGCTTTACGCGTCCACACCTCTCCCACGCTCCTTCGCCCGTTTGGCTCCTCCCCACTCCGTCTCTCCTGCAGCTGCTGCTTGCAGGCGGCCAGCTCAGCTTCAAGGGTGGCCCGCTCGATCAGCAGCCGCTCAATGCTCTGTAAAGTCAGGTCTGCACGCAAAGAACTCCCTGAGCTCAATCTGACAGAACTGCCTGGATGTATACTGTGTGGCGTATTTGGCTTTTCAGGACCGTGGAGCTGAGGCTGGGTTCACAGTATTCCCAGCATAAGGTGCGTCTGTGATGAGACTGGAGTTTTCTATCTGATGAAATGGGCAGTGTATCATGAAGCAGAGAGGAAAAAGCAGCCGAGGAGGGAGCAGCCTCAGAGATAAATCGACATCGGTAAAGCTCGATCGGTTGTACTCTGTATAGGACAGGCTTTGGTGGCAAAGATGTTATTCCCAGAAAGACTGGCAAGCAGGAATCTGCAAAATGCAAGGTCTAGTTACAAAAAAAGGGCCTTTTAAACCCCCTGCAGAAGGTTTAAAGACAATGAATTTTTTGATTAAAGGTGTTAACCACCAATGAATCGCTTAAAAGCGAGTTTACCACGCAATGCGTGCAAAATCAAGCCTCGACAATTCCACTAGAAGTGGATTCCAGAGCACAACTGAGCTGGTAACCTGGTCGAACTCTTACCTGAGTTCTTCACCGCAACTGCAATGCGCCGGTGTGGTTCGTCATCGCCTGCCGTCCCCTCGTGTTTTTCCATCCATCTTCTATCCATCGGATCAAGCGGTTGTAAAATGTAAAACTCAAGGTCCTGCCTCAAGATGCCCAGCTTCCTTTCACTGATTCCAGCAATGCCTATGAATCCTGACGGCGTTTCTTTTTCTGACGTGCTTGCGGTTGGTTGCGGTTCCTGATTTTCAGTCATCCGCAGATCAGCCTCTAGCTCTGTGCTTGAACAGGAGAAGGCGTGCGTTAGCAGAAGGACATCCATATCTACACAGCAGTAGGCACTCTACTTAGGGTTTGAGCCTATACAAGCAGCTTCTCAAGCTAAATGGTTATAAACCAATCCGCATGGTATGGCGGGGACCAATGTGAGCTGATTTACAATATTCAACAAGCGTGCTCATAGGTAAAGTGCCAGGGCTAATCTAGTATCTGTATTCTGCAAGAGCTGGATTGCCACAGCACATTATACCAGATGTAAAAACCCTGCACTGCCTCAGAGGCACATCCCCTCTACAGTCCAGCTGGGGACACGTGCGCTGCCACCTCTCACTTCTGTGCACTCCTGACTGAGGTGCCTGAGAAAGATAGCACCTGGCCTATCCCTGCAGCTACCACTGGTATGTAATATCAGATTGGTGGCTGACTCCTCAACCTTCTGTTCTTCTACTCTGCCTACCGATTACAATATCAACAACAACGCCTGCATCAGAGCTTCAGGGAACGACGTCCTTTCACCACCATGTTTATTAGGAAAGGCACAACAGCCTTGCGCTTTTCTTTCAGACCTGAGATAAAAGTTTGATGCACAAGGGAACCTTCAATGCTCCATGCATGCGGCCGCCACGCACACCCAGTCGGGTCGCAAACGCAGTCGGACTAGCGCATGCGCATTGTGCAATGATTGAGCAACCGCAGGAACCAGTGAGCCAGATTAATCGACGGTAGGCGAGGCGTCGTGGAACGCGATCGACGACCGGCGGGTACGTAACCACGTGTCCCCGGAAACCCTGACACCGTCTGCGTTTGGCGCGCGGCCGCGGCGACGCCGCGCCTGGTTGCGAGACAGCATTCATATGAGAAGTCCCCCATTACTATTAGTACTCAGACTGGACACTGAGAACAATAGAAAGCACAAACAGAAGGATGGCGGCTGCTCAATGTTGCAGACATCGACCGCTGGTTATGTCACCAGTGAGTCGCTCCTGAAAAATGATGGCGCGTGAATTGAGCGGGTTGTTGCAGAATGAACATCGGGCTCACAGATGATCAGGTTGGCGCTGCCGGTCCCAATCAGCGAGGAGATACAGACAGACTCTAACAGTACCCTGGTGCTTCTGGGGTTGGCCATGTTTGCGTGAAGTGTGAAGGTAAGCGGCTGTCAAAGGGTCTTGCCAATATGCTGCGACTTCAAGCCAAGTGTGTTCCTTGACCACGCTGTACTAAAGGGGCACTAGCAGGATCATATATTATTCCGTCAAACTATGTGATCAAAAGCAGTTTATATGGGCTACTGGACACCTTGGCACCATGGCAGTACACTCACTGGCGGCCTTTCTGAACACATTTTGATACATTGACGGAGTCCTCCCCACTATCTTCTGACAAGGACCCCTGTAGGCTTTGTTCAAGAAAAGTCTGTATAAGCAGAGAGCTTTGTTCCACATCTCTCTGGTGAAAAATAGCAGCTGCTTTTGTATTTGGCCAGGAGGATTGAAAGCAGCACCACAGTAGCATCTGTTACTTTGAGGGATTAGACTGGAGTTAAGCACTCCCTCTTCCAGCTTAGATTGTCTTGTCTCCTTCCTGGTTCCTCTTTTGCAGTCGAACTCATTTGCCTGCTTATGTAGGTATTTAGTCCAAGACCTGGTTCGATATATGTTCTTGCACATCGTTCCAAATAATGAGGATCATCTAAGTTTCAGTTAAGCTTTGTTCTCATAACCATAGAAGCAATCAGCAGTGTTGACAAATCCACCACTGCTGCTGGAGCCTGCTTCTTCACTACCAAACCCTGCTCCTTTTATTGAAAAGCGATTCACATAACCGGTGAATATGTCGTATCTCAGGGATCTTCGGGTTGAATTCGCTATTGATTTAGGTCAACCAGAACATACGCCAAAGTTGCCTCTCTTTACAGATTGCCACCCGTGGTGAGACATCAGGAATTGGGTTTGGAACTATGCATGCTGAGTACTTTTCTAGCCCTCTTTTCAAGCTGTTATGGTACCCGGCCATGTTGAATAAACACTCAATGCTCAGTTCTCAAGATCCTAGCTTTCTTGAGTGATCTGAGAGCACTAATACTGCCCATAAGCAAAGGCATTTACAACCATTGCTGCCATATGCAGAAAGCCATGCAAGCAGTCCTGGATTGAAGAAGCTCAGACATGTAAAACCCTTTGACGCGGCCTGCTAGGGTGTAAAAATGTATATCTGTCATATCAAGAAAGATCCATTTTTACACCCTAGGGAAGGAAGACGTCTTCCCCCCTTTACCCTCTGACTCATTTGCAACATCGTTTTCCTTGCAGTACGACAAGCGCTTCAAAATCCCCCGGCATTCGCAAAGAACCCTCTCAATGATGAGATTCTCCAACGGAATGGCAGAAGGTTTTGTAAAGAAGATGGAGGAGGTTGGGCGGAAAATGGACGACAACTCGGAAGCCAAGGTCAAAGAGGCCAAGGCGCGCGTGCGAAGCGACCGCGACGAGGCGGCCGCCAATGACCTCGAGGTGCTGACGGTGCTCGCGCAGGGGTCGGCCATGTGCGATGACGTCAGCACGCGCGAGCAGCTGCACCGCGAGATGCAACTAGCGATGGCGAACATCCTGCCGGGGGCGCACCTGGCTGCGGCCGCACCCAAAGGTGAACTTGGGATCTGATTCTTCAAAGAGAAAGCTAAACTCCATCTTCTCAACATTGCGAGACGTTTGAGACGGTAACTTAGGCCGCTGCTGAAGTCGGTGGTTCGAAGATCAGGTGACCCAAGTCTCCAGGCTGAAAGCGGTCCTGGGCTCGCTTTGTCCGACAGCAAATGCTTTTAACAATTGCAACGTCAAGGTAGGCGCGTTTTCATTTGTACTGCTCATATTTACATCAGCACCCGGCCCGGTCAAGCGACTTCGGGGTTCCGGCATGTTGGTTTGCTCTCTCTCGCTTCACCAGGGCTTCGATAAGCCCGCAAGATCTTGATATACTAATTTCCGTCTCTGACAAACTTCCTCCCCGCTCATGTCTTTGTTCGTCTCTTGATGTGCATCTGAACTCAGTCTTTCCTGCGTCTTTTGCAGGAAGGACCGAAGCTAAACTTCTATGAATCTTCTTCAGCTAACTAAGCTGTTCAAGCAGCCAAACCGGACAGCCACTCACTCTAGACCTTCGAAACTCCGTCCCTCCGTCTGTTTTTGTCCAACTTCTCGCGACCCCGCCATCTGTTCGTGTCACAGGCAAGGAGGTCCGTATCCCCTGTCGACGCAGGACCACACCCACGAATGTCTGCGCCAATTCGTGAGCGACTCATTTGAACCTTAAGTTCCGTTCTTTCGTTGCTTTCTCGTTTAGCTTCTCCCGACAACCCCATCTCGTACTATGACAGGCAAGGAGGTCTGCGTCCCCCTCTCCCCCGTAATCATCTCCTTCGCCGAACTTCCGCCGGACTACATCCGCATCCACGATCCCGCGACACAGCAAGACACGCTCGCCAAAATGAAGGCCAAAATCAGCCGGCTCGTCCAGTGCGGCCTCCTCCTGACCAGAACAAACCTGGGGGGCTTCGACTTTTACTACCTGCTCCTTTCGCGATTGGAACAAGTTCTCGTGGTCAAGGGGGGGTGCGGCTGGGGAAATGCGGTGGGCGAGTTTCTGGACGCCGACGGTTTTGAGCTGGTCCGCAAGCTGACCCAGCGCGCGCCTCCGGAGTACGCGGGTGAGCGCGCGCGCGGGCGTGTGCCAGCTTTGCGCATCTTACTGTGCAACGCGCATCTTTGCAAGCTTATGAGAGTGCTGCTGCTCGTCTGCTCGAGTCAAACGACCCGAAACCGGCTCCTGAAGGGTTCTCAAATGGACAATCAGTCAGTTGATTCAGTTTCAAAACGCTTGCACTTCAGATTCTTTGTTCGTTCGTCGACCTTTCCCCTACCGGCCTGCCGTCCTCTAATGTGCGGCCCCCAAAGAGACGGCAAGGCGAGAGTTTCGTTGTTTTCTTGCTTGCAGCTTGATGCTATCAGTTGACAAACGCCATGAAAGTTTCCCAGATGAATCTGCTGACTGGCCTGTCACTTCAGCGGCCAGCCCTTTCCATGGTAAATTGTTCTCCCCTGAGACCCCTCAAACCACTTCTGCATCGCGAAACGCTAGTCGCCTTACCCCTCCTTCGCCGAATCTAGCTCTTCCCATTCCACCCGTCTGGTGTCTCTGCGCGCCCCTCGACGGCCGCATCAGCGCCATATTCCCCACTACGTCCTCTTGCTTAACGCTCGTCCCTCTGACCACTCGACCGTTACGTTCCCCGGTGCAGGCCGGCTCGTCCACATCATTTGCCTGCTCATACTGCGGCTCATTGCGCCGCTCCAAGGCGGCCTCAGCACCGAACAGCGCGCGCACGCGCCCATGGAGCAGCTGTTCGCGGACCTGCGCGCGCTCATCGAGCGCGCGAAGCAGAGCGACGCGTTCGCCGCCGGCGTGCTGTGCGCGTGCATCCTGGCGGACAAGAACCTCGTCAAGGTGCGCGCGTACGTTTCTGCTCGGTTCAGCTTTTCCAACTGGAAGTCCTGACTTTGGTGCAACGTCTTCCGCAACTTCAAAGCTTCCTCGTAACTTCTTACTCTGCTGGATGAGATTGTGAATTATAGAGCTCAGAGATGGCTTTTCGTCTAGCCTTTTTTGTGGTGCTCTTCTCGCTCAGAAGTCGTCGATCCAGATCCATTTTACCCCTCTTTAGTCAGTCTCTGGCGCTGAGAAACGAGCCTCAAATAGCTTCTTCTTCGTTCGCGCACGACCGCATCAGGGACGGCGTCCAACTGGGTCGTGTCGTGTTTTTGATACAGCCGCTGGTCGAGCAAGGCCTCCTGCCATACCTGGTCGAGTACGCAAGAAGGCTCCAGCCGCGGCCGCGGCTCGACTTTCCACTGCAGGCCACGCAGGATGAACTGGACCCATCGTCGCTCACAAACATTCTCATTGCGTTCGCAAAGTGAGTAGATGTCGGCTTTCCTAATCACGTGTTGATGAGAATGCTTTCGCGGCTGATTCAATGGTGACGTCACTAACTTCGTTCCTTGTTTTTCATCGACTTTCCAGGGCTCTGGCACTCTAGCACTTTGAAAGCTTAAGTTTTCTTTTATTCGTTCCTTTTGTCTGTGCCTCAGAGCTCTGCAAGTGCAATTTCGTTCGGGTAGCAACCCAGTTCTCAAATATTCATCCTTGCATTTTGAAGGGTTTTCATCCTGTCATGTGTTGGCTTTTGAAATCCCTTGTGGTTTCGATTTGTCACCTGGTCTGCACCTTAAGGATTGAGCATCAGCGGCAGATATATCCGTTAATGGGGGCCTGACTTGTGCTGCCAGGCCCTAGGTTTCTTCTCGACTTTCAGGCTTCCTAGCTTCGTCTGCAACCAAAATCACACACCGAGCATTGCATCAAAAGCCTCCGTTCTTTTCGATGTTAAAGAGGTCGTTGACAAACTTAGAATTCTTGGATGGAACAATCCGCAACTTAGGTTGTGATTTCAAATTTGTTTAGATCTTTTCTTCCCTCATCTCTCAATCAGGCTGGCTGACGTGACCGAGGAATATTCGACCCTGCCCGAGCCCGAGCAACCTTACTGGCACGTGCCGCCTCCAACGCCCACTTCTCTCGCGTGGGTCATTCGCTCGAGCGGGATTGCCAACGTCATGCAAGAAGCTCTCGCGCGGGGGGGTAACGACCTCGTCACGCCCATTCTCCGGTACAGACTCGACTGGATCAATCTGTACGCAACGGGGCGGCCCGAACCGCTCAACTGCGCCTTCTCCGATACCCCCCACTGCCAAACGTTCAGCTGCGCGGGGGACTGCGAGCGCGTGCAGACGTTCCGGTTTAAGATCCGCGTGGAAGGCCACGTGCCCGAGGATGATTGCGAGGAGGGGGAAGATCCGGCGGAGGAGTACACCCCCCAGGAGAAGAAGCGCCGGCTGGAGAAAAGGAAAAAGAAGGTGGGCGACAAGGCGGCGACGCCCTTGCACACGCGCGCGCGCGTCGTGGACGCGTCGTCGGTCGTGCTGGTCGCCGTTCCGGTCAACGACCCCGATGCGGCGGAAACGGAATCCATGGACGAGGACGCGGCCGCGGAGGAGCCCGAGGCGGCCGCGGAGCCGACAGAATTCGGCTGCCCGATGTGCGAAGCGCGCTTCGAGAGCGCGCGCGCGCTCGAGCGCCACGTGGACGGGTGCGGCCTGGACAACGAGCCCGCGCGCGCAGCGGAGCCGATTTACACCTGCCCGCTCTGCTCGGCGACCTTCACCGACGAGGGCCAGGCGGGCGTCCACGTGGCAATCTGCGGGGATCCGGCCGCCGAAGCGGCCGCGTGGGGCTTCGAGGACGGAAGGGAGTGCCCAATCTGCGAGAAGAAGTTCTCGCGGCTGGCTGACCTGGAGACGCACGCGGGGGCCTGTGGGCTGCCGCCAAGTGGCAGCACCGGTGTGGCCGCTGGGCCGAGCAGCAGCAAAGCAAACGCAAGTGCAGGCAGCAGCAAGCCAAAGGCCACCGCAGGCAACAGCGAATCAAACACCCCTGCAAATGAAGCGGAAGAAAAAGACGGCTCCCACTTCGTTCTCGGTCCGCCGCTCGCTCCCTGGCCTCGCCCCGTTCTCCAGGCCAACCCCCTCGGAGGCTGCTCAACCGGCTTCCGGTGCCCGGTTTGTTCCCTGGACTTCTCCACCGGAACGGAACTCATCGCCCACATGCGGGACACCTGCCTGGAGAGCGCGGGCGCCCGGGACAGTCCCCCGGGCGCGCGCGCGCGACGCCTCACGCAGTGCCCCAACTGCGACCTTGACCTCTGCGCGCTCACGCCGCTGCTCGCGCACCTGCGCGCGTGCGCCGTGGCGTTCGTCTGCTGGAAGTGCGGCGAGCGCTTCGCCGCGGCCGCGGTGCGCGACGCTCACCAGGCGCAGTGCGCGGTCCTGAACGGGATGGCGGGCGCGTGCGGGCCGCCCCGAGGCCACTACCGGTGAGAGCAGGATCGACTTTTGTAGAACTATCTTGAATTTGAGCGGCGCATGGAAGAAGGCGTTTATCCTGTACAGCACATATGGCATTCGCCGGTCGACTTCACAGGTAATATAGATTAATGGTCAGAGAGAGTGGTAACAAAACCTGCCCCTCCGAAGCATCTAAGCTGGTCCAAAACCCAGTTTCAATTTGGGGTTGAGCGGCGCTCTGTTTGCTGACATCGAAACTCCAGAAACTTTATATCGTGACGCCAACCATCGTGAATTGCCAGCTTGAGATCCAAGAATGACCGGTAAACTCGGCTTCCCCGCAGCTGCGACCGGTGCTTCAAGGAGTTCGACACGCTGGGTGAGGCGAGGCAGCACGGGGAGTCGGTTTGCTGGCCCGGGAAGCCAGGGTGCGAAAAGTGCGGCTCTGCTTTTCCGTCGGTGCAAGAACGGTTCGAGCACCAGGCGGGGTGCTCCACCGGTCGCCCCCTCGCGCGGCCAAGCGCGCCGCAGAGGTACGAGCTGTGACCCGGTACAACGTCTGCCTACGATCGGCTCAGCCAGACGTTGTCCGCACCGCTTCCCGGCAGCGCGCGATACCTTGTTCGGAATCTGGATATCAAAACCCCAAACGGCCCAATTTGCGTCTTTCAAGCGAACGCGTTTGATGCATGATCGACTTGCAGTTTTTGCTGTGTACTGTCGGATTTTTTCTCGGAAACGTTGTTTTGTGAGTGCTGATCAGCTGCCTGCATCCCCTCGCTTTTTGGGAGACCGGATATTGGTCGCACTTTCAATATTAACAGCGGCCAGGTTCCTATGCTCAAGCAATCATTTAAACAAACCTCATGTTGCAACAGCTGGTTATACGGAGTCGCCTCGTCACGATGGCAGAGTCGTATGGAGTCGGGGTATTTTACTCGCCGGACTCCTATTTGCACCCTCGCCTCGATATAGCCGTCACAACATCTTGCAGTTATACTGTAAAAGCTTATGCGTTATCTCCCTCTCTTGAGAACAGGCATGAGTTCAAACCTCGGGCGGTCGCCCTGCGCGCCGCGGCCACGCCTCCGATGGACAAGACTCAAAGCGGCAAACCCGAGGAGTCGCAGAAGACGGGAACGACGGGAGAAACGAGCCTGCGAGTTGCGCTTCGCAGAGCGGAAATAGAAACGGAAACGGACCCGGAAACGGAAGACGGAGAGGGCTTTTTGCAGAATCAGCAGCCTGAAGTAGGCGGCTCTATCGGCGCGGCCGCGACAGAGGGTTTGGGAGAGGACCCGGGCGTGGCGAGGGGTTTGGCAGAAAACGCGGCCGCGGCGGCGGTGTTGACCGGGAGCGCGAGCGCGGCCGTGGCAGAAGGCGACGAGGATATGGAGGAACCCCCGACTGGTACTTTTGGCGCTGAGGGGCCGGGACACGAAGAGATTATGCCACGTGGCGTTGCGGAGATGGGAGCAGCTGACGTGACGGGATTTAGAAACGACGACTTTGAAAGGGTATTTCCCGAAGACGCGGCCAAGGAAGCCGAACAGATGCGTCGGGAGGATAAGGAAGCGACGAGAATCGATAGCGACTGGGTGGTTCTGCCAGGTGCGGAGGGAGGTCCCTGAGAAATGACATAATCGCGGCGCGGCTCAGCATCAAATGCGCGGAAAGAAAGGATTCTGGTGATCTCAAGGGACTGGAAACGGGCTACGGGTGTCGGATTTCGGCGAAGGGCCGCGCTTTTAGAAATGCACTTGTCTTTCTGCATGGAGTGGGAGATGAGGGATTGAAAGTCTCAATCGGAGCGAGATCAAGCTGTCGAGGCTGCATCTTTCCGACGTGCTGTGCGTCAAACCTCAAAAGCACCAAGCGCACTCAAGCTTGTGCCTCGGTAGTTAGTCGAACGAGATCAAAAACGTATAGTTACCGGGCCGGCCCGGATGGGCCAACACAAAGTGCGTCCGCGCCTCCTTAAATTGAATGATCGCAGCATGAATCGTTGTGTGTGGGATTGAGCAGTAGTCACCGAGTTTGGGGTGAAATCTCCGGCTATAGTCTTAAAAACCAGGTTACCAAATAAATGTAAGCTAGGATATCTGCATAGTACCATGATAGAGGACTTCTTTTGCAAGACTTGTTGTCACGAACGTTACTCGCCGGGTGTGCATACGAGATTTATGTCTCATCTCTTCATGATTCAGGCACTACGGGATGTTGAATGCTGTCCGTAAGACCTTCGTCAAGCCCTGCACAACAATATCGAAAATCATTGTTTGGAAAAGCAGATTGAGCTCTTTCCGCAGGAAGCTAATCCGGCTGCATGGGCATGTCGTGGTGAAGGCCTTTCATGATGAAGTCATGGATGCAGCTGCAAACGTCCAGGGCGCACAAAGAATTCCGGAAATTGCGTCATAGCAGTTATACTGAGGTATATATACGGGCCGACATGTCGGAATAATTGTCATGCGTGAAGTCTATTCTATGCATGAGTCCTCGCCGGCCCGCAGTTTGAAAGCTACGACATGCATACCCGGAGACCCGGGAAACAAAATCTTCGAGACTATTCCCCTTGAAATCCAAGATCGTGATCTATCGCGGCCGCGGCGTGCACGGACTGATCAGGTGCCCGCATGTCCGTTCTATAACGTGATGACGTTTGCATAATTCTTCGTAATCAAAAGCGTTGAGTCTGATGCAGATTTCAGAAACCTTGGCAAACGCCTCCATCCTCGCATTACGCCTTTTCACCTAAGTTTATCCAGCCAATGCCGAGACCCGTGTACCATATAGGATCTGATCAACGTGCGTACTTACACTCACTGCTGGAAGCTCTGCCTTCTTCTATCTCTCGGTATAACTTTACTTTCTTCTGCATGCCTTGACGTTTCCGGATGTTGCGACATACACCGTTCGCAAACCTATCGCAGCACCGGCAATAAGATGCACCATCATCGCTGCAGATACAATTATGAGACAACATTGTGAACGCAAGGACGAATGCAGCTGCTGTCATTGCGACAGAATGAACCGCTCGATCGCCTCCGCGACGCCATCCTCGTCGTTGCTGCCCACGTGGGCGTGCGCGGCCTCCAGCGTCACGGGCGCGCCGTTGGCCATTGCCACGCCGAGCCCCGCGATCTGGAGCATCTCCAAATCGTTCTCGCCGTCGCCTACGGCCATCACCTGTGACAAAGAAGAGGGTACTTCGGACTCGTAGTTAAGAGAGATTGTTGTTTGTTTCCTCTGTTCCTGAAAATCAGTTGCCCCCCAGAACAGTGACGTCATCCATACTGCCCCAGCTTGTTGGACCGATCCTAGGCAGGGGCTTCAGCAAGACCAAGTGGGCCGAAGAAATCTCGCAAGGAATCTCGCGAGCCGATGAGGAAGGAAAGAAGCAAAACAGCAACAACAAAACCGGCGCTCTGACGCTTTCCCGAACTGGAGCATGATCCCAAGTGTGCAATCCGCCTAGGACTCCGCTGGTTGATCCGCCTGAGGCAACGAGTTCCCCATTGCCAAAGTCCGGCACGAGAACAGCCTGCACAAGGAGCGCGTGACGGGGACAGGCTCTGTACATCCATTTCCGTTCCGCCTTTACTAAGCGCAGCACCACAAACAAATTCGAAGGGAAAGCTAAAGCTTCGCAAGCTCAGCACTATCTCACCTGGTCCCGCGAAACCTCTAGGTGGGCCATCAGGCGCCGCACGCCGTCACCCTTGGACGCGCCAAACGGCAGGATCTCCAGCATCTCGGGGACGGCTTGCGTGATGTTCGCTTTGCCGAAAACGCGCTCTTCCCAGAGGGACCGCATCGGATGGATGGTTGCGGGCGTGTCGTAGAACAGGAGCTTGTTGATCGGGGCGGACGCGAGGAGGGCGTCGACGGACGGGAAGATCTCGGCCTGGGCGCAATGTTACGGTTTCGTGAATTCTTGAGAAACCCGAAAAGCACGGTAGTTAAGTAGCTTTGCACGGGTTGTGATATCGAGGATCAGTTTGGACGGGAGGAACTCGCGCTGAGCGAATAGGTACGGTTTGGGTAACTTGTGGATTGACAAGGCGAGGAGCACGATTAGTTGACCGACTTTGCAAGGTTCTACTCGCAGATCTGCACTACAAGGAGGTCTTCGCGTGCTGATTGGAGCTAGGTTTGCGAGGATGTCGCAGCCGCAAAGCGGTCTCATAGGGCCCTCGATTCAAGAGCATCATCCGTAAATTGTAAAAGGTGAACCCCCAATCGTCAAAAACTTCGATCTATTGACAGTCCTTGGTCACAGCGAAACAGGGCCAGAAGTAGTGGTCCGACGACCAGATTACACAGCTGGCCAACCGTGCGAAGTTACCGTTTTCGGACGTCCTTCTGTTTTCTGCCCACAATCTCTCAAACTTGCTTGGAACATTCCAAGCTCTGGATGCTCACCTTCGGCTCGTAGTACGTGGTGTGCAGCTTGTCGATCAGCGGATGCTCGAACAGCGTCACGCAGCGGTCGCCGGAGAAGCCCGCCAGCGCTATCCGGTTCTCCACAGAAAAGGCGAACGCCTGCGGAGCGAGCAGAAGGTTAGTAGAGGTGCGACTATCTTGAGCAAGCAGGTCTCAAGCAGCCGGGAAAGCTCAGTTGGATGAGATGGGCGACAGCCAAGAGGACTTTTGAGCCCGCTTTCGAACTGGGAACCCTTTCCAGGCGGACCGCAGAAGCTAAAGATGGCCGAAATCGCGTCGCAGCCATCCGATCTTCACATAACAATCCCAGTCTGCAGTATTAGCCTCAAGGAGTTCAGACGCGCAAGGACAGGGTTTGAGGTAAACTTTGCAAAACCACTTAGAAACAACGAATGTGAAGCGTCAATGTTTTTGACGTCAAAACATAGACGATAGCGACCTGTCCCCCAGCCATTTCATTCCTCTGCGGTCCGCCTGTTTCCCCACAAAAGACGATACCAGTTTTTGTCCGGCCAAAAGGGTGACGGTGATGGGAACCTAGCTTCAATTGTTTTGAAACACGTCGATCGGCGGCGGGTTGTCTCAATCCTCTTGTGCCGCTCCTAATCATTGCAACAGACTGACGACGCATCTCTCGCTCATTACCCGAGCACGATGAAGATCGAGAAGAAGCACGACTCAAACCTTTGACGCAGCCGTAAGCATGTGCAAGGTACGACGCGATCCACGGTTAACTGCCTAATCAAGCCCACGGCTGTGCAGAGTGATGCCCTCTTCCACGTAATCCTCAGCCCTTGACCAGGCCTTAACCATGAGCCTCTAACCCAGCCCAAACCAACACGCTTCCCCTTACTCACTTCTCGGATGATTACCTGGTCCAGCTCCTGGCTGTGAATGATTGTGCCCTTTTCACCGCAAACCATCAGCCCTCAACCCCACCTTAACCCATGTCTCTTCACTTTAGCAATAGTAAGCTTTAGCAATAGTAAGCTTTAGCAATAGTAAGCTCCCGCACTAACACTAAGAACCTAACCCACAGATTCACCCGCTCCGCACCCGAACCCACCCTACCCCCCAAACTAACCCTACCCGTCCCAAGCTGGTGAGCTGACTGTTGCTTAAAAGCTTACATTGCAAAATTGAAGATAATATCTTAACCCCGCAGCCCTTGACCTATTTTTTACCAAAACGGTTCTCCTGACCCACTTCTCTGACGTTTGTCCTGGTCCAACCCAGTCTCGACCCTCAGCCCTTCCCTACATTTCACCAAAGCGATTTTCTTAGCCCACCTCTCTGATGATGGCCTCTTCCAACACCTGGCTGTGAACGATGACGCCCTCTTCACCGTAGACATTCAACCCTTGCAGAAAGACGCCTGGAGACGACGTAGAAACCACGCCCCCCGGGCCGCTTAAGCCCTGAACCGAGCACGCGTCGATCGCGGCCGGGCGAGCCTGCGCGGGAATACGTGTGTGACGTCAGCTTGGAACGAAGAGAAGATCGGAAGTGACGTTAGCACGGAACGGCTCCGACGATGAGAGAGGCGCTACTGAGGAACTGAATCTCCCCCGTGAAGTAAGCTGATCAGAGCGGGGTCTGCAAAGGGCATCACCCTTCTCCAACTGTGGTCGTACGCTTTGCACTTCTCAATTCGGAGGCTGCCAGATCCGCCGCCCACATGCCCAACAGCTTCGAACCAAACCCGTAACCGCGCTCAAGAAGCATGTTTGACCGCAAGTCTTACAACGATCTCACTGGACCTCAGAACACATCATTTAAACCGAAAATCACCAGCTCACCTTCCCGGTCGCGATGCACAGCTTGACGCCCCGCGCCAGCGCGGCCCGGCACGCATCGGCGGTCTTCTTGCTCAGCCGCGTGGCGCTGTTTAGGAGCGTTCCGTCCATGTCCAGAAACAAAACTTTGATGTCCAAGTACTCGCGCGCTCTGCCGGGCCGAAGGCCGTTCTCGGCGCGGGTCGGGCTCGAGGGTGCGGACGTCTCGGCCGGGCGGTCGCGGGGCTCGGGGGTTGACGGGGCAGCTGCAGGCAGAGGGGTTCATATCGGGCACTTTCAGGAATCTCTGAACTGTGATGGTTCGCCGAGTTGGATGAATATGTTTCTTCCTCCGAGCAGCATTCTCCATCAAGGCGACTTTCGGCTACCGCTTTGGCAGTACTCCGAGATTCCCGACCAATTTTTTCCCATGACTGGGACTTTCTGAAGGACAGGGGCTCAAATCGAAGTCGATGCGAAGAAGATTGTCAGAAATTATGCGGCTTGAAAGGCGACCCCTGTGCCATTTGTCGTCAGTGATAAGAAGGGTAATTTGTCGCCGAGAACAGCAGAATATGGTGCATCGAGCGGCTTGTACGGGCAACAGACGATGGCCAAACACAAACTCCAATATCGGACTGCATTGAGCCTCTTGGTTTGTGTATCTGCGATGCGCTTATGATGGAGTCTGCTACGGCGAGCTCTTGAATCCAGCTGACAAGACTCGTTTCAAACACGATCTGCACAACCTCAAAGCAGGAAATAATTCCTCACATATCCTGATAGCGTATATGTGGCGTGCTCCAATGAGGTGAATCTGAAGTTTTCATCGACCAAGGCCGTTTGGAGGCTACCCGCGTCTGGTTCGACATTGATCAAGACCTACTATCAGCCGACGCCGTTTCGACCAACGCGGCGTCAGTTGCGTCAGTCTTGAACATTTAATCGACGCCTTTGCCAACTCGACGGCGGAGGATATAGTACACGCCCTCAAGCGAGGCGCTTAGGTAAGTAATACGGTTGGATGCGTCTGAAAAACCACTCGTCGAGAAAAGTACAGGTCATTCTAAGCCCTCTTGAAGTTTGTACAAGTGCACAAGTACCCTCCTTGTTTTGGCCTCTGGGATGCCTGGTCCAATCTTTGCTCAGGAGTAATCCCACTCGCACTGCCAAATCCAGAGATACGGGCCTCCTACCCAATGCTTTTGTCCCCCCCCGGCTAGATCATCCTTGAAACAGAATTGACACAAGCCCCACGCCACTTGCATGCTTCTTTCCATGACACCCTCTTAAGGTGTCACCGAAAGAGAATGTAGCACAGCACATTCGATCCTGACAAGAGAAACCCCGTCCCCGACTTCAGAAATTGGGCTCCTCCGCTTATCTACCGTTCGTCTCCCGCTTTTCGGGGCTCTTCCGTCTCCTCTTTCTCACCGTCAGCCTCCTGCTTTTCAAACACTCTCGTCTCTTCTTTCCCACCGTTCGTCTCCCACCTCTCAGAATCCCCCTCCTCCTCCTCTTTCTCTTCTCTCATCTCCTGCGTTTCTATCTCTTCCGTTCTTCCACCATTCGTTTCCTGCGCTTTGAGTTTCGCCAGTTTCGCTCGCTCACCGCTCATCGCCTCAATGAGGCCCTTTCCCGTCCATCCCATGGCCTCCAGGATGCGCTGCTCCTCCGCCGCCATCGCGACCTCCTCCTCTGCGCTCGCCTCATGGTCGTAATCCAACAAGTGCAGCAAACCATGAACCTAGGGTGCGAAATGGTGGGCGGATTAGGGAACGAAACTGTACGGTTTCACGGATTTGGAGTTCAAATTCTTTTGACTTTTTTGGGTGTTGTGGTTCAACGGCCTCGGGGTCGGTGAGGCAGGCCGTGAACCTGGGGTGCAGGTATTGGGCGATTCAGAGATGCTCATTGTTTGTTTGGTCATTTGGTTTGATGGGTTCAAGGTTTTCGACGGCTTTGTCGTCCTTATCCCCAGCTACCCGCCAAAAACTTGCCATGCAAGACTTTCGCGTTCGAGTATTGAACTAAGTCAAACTTCAAAAACTTTTGGGGTCGAGGATGCTCAAATTAGAGTCCCAGCGCTCGCCTCGTGGTCGTAGACCAGAACGATGCATCAAACTTCAAACCCCACTGATCTGCAGATTGTGGACGTCAGGAACGGGGAAGCTTGACGAGGAAGGCAACTGGATCTGGATTGGGGACTCGTTTTCCAAGATAGAAAGCTTTAGAGTACAATACAACGAGGGCGGCAGACGGTACGCCTCGGGTGCAAGTTTGTGGGGCCTCAGAAGCTGGGGCGTCAGAAAGGCAGACGTAAAAGAGCTGAGAAAAAGAAGTTGCATGTGCCAGAACAAGCGGCAAGCCGTCTACAACTTGGATGCATGCATCATTTGATGGGAACGACGACTTTTCCTCCGCCAGTGATAGACCCAGACCCCAAGATTTCTTTGGGACAAGACTCTAACCCCGGGTTCGCATTCATGGTCAACCTAACCCACCAGGAGAAACCCCAACTCTGCCAAACCTCCAACATTGACCGGAATAAACCCGGTTAGCTTAACCCACCAGCAGTATCCGCAGCTCGTCCAGCAGCGAGTGCCCCCGCTCCGCGGCCTGCCTGCGCGCCGTGTCCAGCGAGATGACGACATCCCCGAGCAGTACCTCGGGGATCCCCTCGATCCACTCTTGGGGGAACGACAGCACATCCGTCGGCTTGTCCTCGCCGCGCCACTTCTTGTTGGACGACTGGATGTGGCTGCACCGCAAAAGCAAGTAGCCATTTAAAAATCTGGTACCTTGGAACTAGGCAACTAGGATGGTTCTTTCAAATGATGGTTCTCAAATTCCTCAAGACTGGGCAAGAGTGGGCTTCTTGACATCAGACGGGTGTGGGCTGGCAAAGGAAGGGGCGCTTATAATGCAATTGCCTGTGCTGCAGAAGATTGACAACAGGATTCAAAGCTTGTAAAACACTGCTGGAGCCCCATTCATGGTGAAGAACTCAGACTTCGGCGATCAAACCGCAGGGGAGCAACAGTTTGTTATCAGCCTCAGGATGAGAGACAAAGGAACCTGATTGTCATAACAGCCAGGATCTCATTACTTGCTGCTTGCCTCTCCAAGTCATGTTGCAAGTAGAATGCAGCTCGCTTACTTGTCAGTACATAGCAGGACAGACAGCCACAAGTTCTCGACGCCCTCGAACTCCGTGGCATCAATGTTGCTCAGCGCTTCCTGGACGAGGAGTGGGGTACTGGTCTCAAGGTCCTCCATAATCGCCTGCACGGTGAGAGCCGGGGCGTTGCTCATGGCGCAAGATTAACACGCCCGATCAATGCGTGGTTATTGACAGAAGAGACTTTATATTTGCTGGGCCGAAAAGGAATCTCAGTTTCACGGTGTCAAAATCAGCACAGGAGGTCAGACTGATCTGTGGAGCCTCAAAGCACAGGGCTGCAGACTTCCTGCCCACAAATTGGCGCCAGCTATCCATTTCAACTTTCAGAGTGGAGAATGCATGGGCTGCTGACCCACAACTCTACACCACTCCTTCATCGCTCAAACACCGGGGATCCTTAAGAATTTCGCATTCAGGAGCCAAGAGCAATCAACCTGGTCCCAAGAATGTATGAGCAGGTGCATAGGTACCCCTTTAAAAGCAGATGCCAATCATGCACAAGTTCCTTACGTCCAGCTCATCGTCGATGTCAACCGTCTCTTCCACCAGCACCGTCGCCTGGATGTTGACGTCCAAAGCTGAGGCACTCCCGGCCACTGCACTGGTCGTCACCTGTCCCCCCCTGCTGAGCCGCTTAGCGGTTCTGTTGAAGTCCAGCGGGGCAGGCTGAGATCCGGCGCCCGCTTTGTGCCTGGCTCCATATGATGGGCTGGAGTGGAATGCGCGGTGATGGGCTGAGAATGTTTGGAGAGATCTGCAAGATGGACAGCTGGCGGCGCCTGATTGGAACCTTGCCGTCGGCTGGGTCTTTGAATGAGGAATGCCAGCATTTTGGAGCATCGTTTTGTGCTGGAAAGAGACGGGACTCAGATTGCGGAGTGGGTCGAGGATCCCCGCTCCTGCTTTTGTATCTGTCACGGGAATCGTTGGCAGTCTCTGCAATGCCGGCGCTGCGCGGGACGCCATCCTGAGCAGCGTGCGTTCCAGCTCGCCCCCGGGCACCCTCACGGTGCGCGCGGCCCGGCCCAGCAGCTGCAGACTCTCCCGAAGCATGGCGGACGGTGGAGCCGTGGCAGCCATTGAAGGCACCACCTTGACAGCAACAGAAAGCGCCCTCTAGCTATTATTACGCTGGAAGACTGACTGGGCTACCGGGGCTAGCTGAGGAGAATGTGCTCTCTTCCGTTGTGAAGCTCCGCTTCCGGTTCCGGTGCCGCTTCAAATTTCAAGGCCTGGCCGGGTGACAATTCCGGTCATGGTTCCGCGGGCGGACTAGGTAAGGTACTTCGTCACAATGTGCTGGGCGGACATATGATTCCGCCGTGGCCACTGCCCGGAACCACCGTCACCAGGCATCAGCTGATTCCGGCTGAGCTGCGACTCATCCAACTGACTCCGTGCAACGCCTCCGCCAAAGAAGCTGAGCCAAGTTTTTGTGCAGAATAGGCTCTTGCAAAGCATCATTCTGTCTCGTATTGCCAAAGAGTACTCGGCGGCGAAGCTTCGTCCGAGTGGCCAGCAGCTGAGCAACGCAGCTGAAAGCGAGTCCCTTGATCTTTCTTAGGAATCCCGGCAGTCGAGCCATGCTTGATCTCAATGGTTGGCCTCATAATCTTACCGTACATCCGTCATCCTCTTACAGGCACTTCGATCGTCCAAGGATGTTGAAGTTCGCCGTCCAAGTTTCGGTCGAACATTAACTTTCTACACTACAGTACATCGACTCACGATGCTTGATCGGACTTCTTTGTGTCTATGCTCGTTCGTCAACGGGCCGGTCTAGCCAACTCAGACTGTCAATCGCAAGCTCAAAGATAGCGAGGGTCCTCATCTGACATTGTTGAGATGAAGTAGAGTAACAATACTCGGCAAAGCGCAGTAGATTGTGTTCCAGTTGCGTGAGGGCCTGAGGGCTTTTTGGGCGCTTCAGAGACACGACTTTCACGAGATTCGGAGAATCCTTGTGCCTTCCTTTTCAAATGTGGACGACTGCATGCACAGCTCTGAGTCCCAGACTCCTCACAGACACGCAAAGCTCTTGAGCATGGGCATGGCTCTTTCCTGCTCGCTTTGACTTGTTGGAGCAGCTTAGCCGAACTTCGTTGAGTTGCTGCATCAGGGGGCGGGTTGCTGAGGGTTCGATTGGGTCCGCTCGAGCGAGAGTTGCAAATGCGCTGGCAGAAGCTAACATAGATTCGCCAAGGAGAAAGAGAGGCTTGAAATATGTCTACGACAGAGTTGGGCTGCTATTCTGTGGGCTGTGCATCCAATACTTGCAATGCTTTCCTTCCAGACGTGTCTTCTCTGTGGAAGAGCTATTGATTGAGGTCCACAGGGTGCAGAGACTAGTGGAGTAGCATAAGATTGGACGTGCTTTTCGGGATGATTGGTACAAATCAAAGAATAGGTTGTTCCTTCTCAACGCCAAATTGTGATCAAGTGATTGGAATCAGCCTGAATGGTGAGTCACCATTTCAACCCCAGTTGAAGAAGCCGACTGAGTGGAGTTCAGGAGGACTTTACTAACACTGCGAACATCAGCTTGACAGGAGACAAGTTTCGGGTGGCCCCAGACCCCTCGAACGAAGCCGCCGCACAGGGCCGCAAGTCTCAAGGCCCAGTCCAACGCATCAATGAAGGGGCATCTCTCACTTCATTTTCAAAGGTTGCTTTGGTGAATGCTGGATTTGTTCGGTTCTATGCGGCCGTTCTTCAATGCGTCATGAAACGAAGGTCCTTCAAAGTATCTCGGACCCTATCTTCTTCTATGATCTGTTGGGATATGCCCCTGTGTGCGCTCAGGGCTTCCAGGACAAAGATGTCAAGCCCCTTATACTGCTTCCAAAGCTTGCGGCACCTCTATTGAACCAACCCGAGCATCCAGAAGAAGCTTCCACCTATGCAGGAACCAAAAACTCAGGCCGAGCAAACTCCAACGGGCGCGCGAACCGCCCAAGAACAAGAGCCCGGTTCGTCCCAGTCGGCCACCGCTCCCCCGGTGACCGCTTACAGAGCAACGCCAGCCTATCCCCCGGTTACCCCCCCCAGGCAGCGATTCCGCCTACCCAGCCCCCTCCGCATACGACGACGAGCCGGCCCACCGGTTATGCAACCGGGGGAACGACCTACGTGTACACAACCGCGGCAGTTGACTACCCGGGCCAAGCCCCCCAGCCACGTAAGGATTTAAGATTTAAAGATATTGCTTGGAGATTCCGGTCCGGTCTGGATTGAAATGTGTCTAGTCTGAGGCCCAGCAGCGTCCCGACTACGATTCTTTGCGTCCTCGTACGGGCGAGGTCCTCGTACGAGCAGATCTGTTGCGGCAGATATCTCACGGCCCCTCCTGAGATTAGCATTTGGGCAGTCAACCACTTCGGTTGGGCAATCACTGAAGTAGCACAAGCGTCCACCCAGTCCCGTCTGAAGATTGGGAAAGTACAGGAGAGCCTCGGACACTTGCAGCCTCAGGCGTCAGAAAGCGCTTTTGAAATACGTGCACTGGCAGCAGAGCTCTTCTATTTCGATCCTCTGCAAATCAGACCGCTGATATGTGACCCGACCCAATTCTACTTTTCTGGAAGATGATAAAATCAACGGGAGAGGTTCTGGCTGTGACTTTGCAGAAACGTTCCGGGTGGAGATTCCGGCAGCGGCAGTGACTTACCATCAGCACGTGTGGAGCGACCCGATACCCGACTTCCTTGCTTGGGTGAGCTTTGAACAGAAGAATCTCTTTCAAAGGTGGTCAAACCAAGAGATGCAAAGCTTTCAAGCGAAGACGCACTTGGCACGAAGCAGTCTCCGGATCTTGTGAACGGCCAGACCCCGAGCCCACGGAATCTTGGTTCTTCGCTGAGTCAGATCGTTGCAAAGTCGCTCAAGCCTTTGATTGCCTCCGATTCGTGCTCGTTGACGTTGAGAGAAGCGAAGGGATCAGCACGCCGTTACCTCCTCATTACAAGAAGTGCCCAGATCTTTCGTTTCAGCCCAGATCCTCGCGGCATCATCCCGTCTTTCACCTGAAAGTACTGTCTGCCAAGCTCTCGGTCTATTCAAGGGAGCCAACCACCAACGAAAACCAACAGAGTCGCTTTTATGCGCGCAGCTCTGTTGCATCTTCTTCTTCCCGTTTGGCCTCCTCGCGCTGTGCATATGCCGTCACCAGGTCTGCATCGAGTGCGGGGCGCGTCGTCCGTATCCCGCTTAGCCGTCCGGCCTTCTGCATTTCTCGTACTACTGCTCAGACCGTCAAAATCAATCAGAGCATCGAACGTTTGTAGCCATTCGTCCACATCAGGACATCTTTTTGAACTGTCTTGATCAATTTCAGCCGTTGAAATGAAGCAGTACCACTTGCTTGAAGACTTTGTACCGACTGCAGATGTGAATAGATCTTACTTCGAAGCACATGAATCCGACCATGTATTCTGTACGTCGGTTCCAGCAAACAATAAGCACGCAAGAACCTCACACTCATCGCTCGACATGCGACATTTCAGTTCGTGGGCGCTGCCGTTTCAACAAGACGGTTTGCTAACTGAATACCTTATATGAACCGGGGCGTCCTGCTATTTGACCCACAACATGTAGATCTGAATGGCAGTGCGCCAATCATGGCTGATTTTAATAGCATCTCGGAAAGGCTGCGTTATGTGAGTAGCCATGTTTCCAGTGATGCACATTATGACGAGAAACGAACTAAGTCTTCAACGTTGATCCCGTTTTAGAGTCAACGTGGCAAAGCGGAATCTGAAATTGAATCCAACGCCCCCACCTATGATCTTTTCCGGACCATCGCGAGCTTGCATCCCCGCGAGCTTGCCAAGCACATGCATTTGAGTGCCATCTACAAGCTTTCACGCAAAACATTTTGACTTCCAATTTGTATGAACGCGCAAGCGCACGGGTGCTGTAGCTTCGGCAGCAGGGGCGCAGTGAGGGTCGGTTGAGAATCTAGTATCCGATATCAGAAGCCTGCACAGCGCCCATCACGCACCCGGTTGAACCAGACCAATTATTCCCGAGTAGCCTTTGGGCTTGTCCAACTTTTAGGGTTGGACAAGCGAGCGCCCGCGGAACATTCGGCGAAGCTCTCGTCTTGCACGTCAAAGTCGTCGAGATTGAGTTCGCAAATCGACCGTACATGCTCTAAGATTGTCAAACATGACAAAGTGTTTTGGATTTTTCGGCGCTTCGAGGCAGCTTCATGCATATGCAGCTTCATGCAGCTTCATGCTTTCTGGGACCCGGCCAAAAGGTGTTCGCCACTGAGGAACGGACTGAACCGCTTGCGATTGATACCAAGATCAGGACGCAGGCACAAAGCGGACGAAAAGTGCCCAGCTCCCGCTCCCCTCCTCCATTGCACCCTTGACACTCAGGTTTGTCTAGCTAGAGGAATGCGTCTGGAAATCTGCGTCAGCACACCTAGCGCAAAAGGAATACGACTCGCGACCAAGGCGAAGACAGCCTCATAGGAGGTTGAGAAAAGAGGCGATATCTGGTCACAGGAAAGCAGCGCACTTTCATGCCTGCAAGTCAGAACTGCCCACGACTCAACGGGCGTTTTTCAACCATAACAATTGGAGCCCAGCGTTGCGTGACCTCCTACTCTCTTCAAACCAGAATCGGAATCAAAGACGAGATTTCTGAAAAGCGTCAGCATATCGCTTGGGTTGAGCCCTTAATCGAATTTTCAATGAAGGGCTTGCATTGTTGAAGTTGGACCTCCAGTTTGCATGCTTGTGAAGACCTTGGCAGGCGCCCAGCAGAATAGCTGCAATGAAGTTTGCCTTCAAGATCCTCGACATTGAAAGTTCTGGGCGCGGATGAGACCTGACTGTCTATAAACAGAGCTTATGGGCGCCAAAATGACGAAGAAAACGAAGGTAGGCTCAAGCTCTCTGTGGGTAGCAGAGTTGAATGAAAAAACCATAAGTCCCTTGAGAGAAAAGGGGCTGCTCACAATTGTTCGGATGGAAGAAGGTAAGCTTACAGAGGCAGACATCTCCTTGTAACAATTCTTAGGTCCACTCTGGTCCTCTGTCCATTTCAAAGTTGCGCTCAAAATTCGGTGAATCCCTTTTGATGACGCGTCAAACGTCGTCTTTGCTTCTGAGAGTGCCTCTGGAAGGACGACGTCTGACGAACTTCTATGGCGAACAGCTGCAAAGTGAAGTTCAGTTGTTCTGGTTTAGAACCTGCAATCGACTGCCTTCTCACGGCCTTCGATCTGTCGATGTTGATTTAGACGCTTCGAAGGACCTCGAATGGATCAGAGCTTGCTATCTTGGCGTATCGCAGATCCTCTTCCATCAGACTCGATATCTTTGGGTTCTCTTCGAGCATTTGGACTCTTTGGAGCCTTCCCGGCCAATGCCTTCCTTGTGACCGTACATCATAATTTTGATGGTTATCCGGGCTCAGGGCATCTCACAATCATTGCGAAGCAGAGAGTTAATGGGTGCTTTTCCTCCTTTCTTTCCGCCATGATTCCAGGAAGAAGACGAAGCGACCCGAAAGGCCCACGAAGGCGACAAGGAGAAAGGCGCCGCGCCGAGCGCCGCCGAGGAGGCGAAGCCCGCGGCCGCGCCAGCGCCGACGCCGAGGGCCGTGCCAGTGGCGGGCGTTTACGTGGCGCCCACTCCCATCAGACCGATCCGTGAGTGCCCGCCCCTCGTCGTCAAACATGCGCTTGGAGACTCTTTGCGATCTGCAATTCTGTGCGATGTTTTCTGTGTTCGGGGTCAAACGCAACATCGTGATCGAAAAGGTTTACGAAAGGTGGTGAACTCAGCGCAACATTCGTGCGAGTAGTTCGCACTTTAGGATTGCTCAAGCCGCTGTGAATGGTCGGAACGTCGGATCCCGGGTCGATCAGCTTCGAGAAGAAAGAGGGTACGCTTCGCTCAGCAAAGCAGACAGAATGAAGAAACTTTGAGTCGAAGTTTTTGGCTTGCTTTCCTCTTCCAGCGGGCGTGGTCGTCATCGAAGCCGTGCCAGATCACGAGCACGTCTGGGGCCCTCCCGTGCCGGACCCAATTGCGTGGGTCAGTTTCCAGTCACTGCCGGCCCTTCTCTTAAAGACGCATTCTGATCTTTGAAACGATTCGTTCACAAATCTAGAAGCAGATGAAGGAACGGGTGATTATTGGCTTCAAATATGCCAAGGGAGAGCTTTATTGGATGCCAGACGTGGGTGGGTGGGTGGGTGTTGATATGGACACTGCGTGGATGTCGAACGCTCTAACTCGAAAAGAAGTATTCAGCACGTTCTGAGACCCAAATCTAGAAGGCCCAATGTGCGCGCTGCCCTGTCCAATGTTAGGCTGTCTGGAGAATCACACTACGGCTACTACGTCGTTGGCAGTAAGGATCGACTCTTTCTCTCAGGCCAAAGAAACGAGTCTCGGCGGCCCAATTTTGATCTTGCCACTTCAAAGCCTAGCAACGGTCCCTCTTCCTCGAGCAATCGTCTAAGTCGTGTATCCTATCAATCAATTGGATCGAAGAGCCTGACAAGGTCTTTTTTATATGCAGTTATTCGCATGCTCACGCTTTGCCACTTGTTTTGCAGCTCTTCTGCATCCTCTTCTTTCCGTTTGGAGTCATCGCTCTCTTCTTGTGCACGCACCGTCATTGCGTCATATGCGGAGCGACATTGTACGATTGGTAGGGACATAGTAAACCTAGCCAAGGGTTAAGAAAGCAGATACGATGCAAATTAACGGAAACCATCAGCAGACGGAGCTGGTTCCGCCAGTCACTTCGACAGGATTTTTTGCATGACTAAAAATTCTTGATGTGCAATACTTCTGCCGTCTTGTCATATAAAACCTTTGGAAGTTGTCGGGCGCAGGACCGGTCACCCAGGAGACAGTCGAGCGCGGGTTTGCTTTCGTTCTAGGAAGCAGTTGGCCAATCAAAGCTGCATGATGCTTATCTCGAAAGGCGCTGCCACTCCGCCTCGTGACCTTGAAGTGGCTGTCAAACGTACGGAATATGTCTTGATCTACCTGAATATCAGCAACCAAGTCCCCGAATGATCTATTGAACCTATCCGGTCGTTTCCGATTCTCGTTGCTGTTTTTTTGGGTGTACGACTACCTGCCAATCAAGGATCCACTCCGAAGGCTTTGTTGGCGCATGTTGCAGTGTACCCTTCGCAAAAAGATGGCCCGGAACAGCTTTTAGATCTGAGTCTCAATCCTTGCAGATGACATAAGAGCTTGATGACATAAATCTGCAGATCCCGTGTTTGATTCTGTGGCCTTTCAGCCGTATGAGGAATGCATGTGACTTGCAGGCTGCCGCCCGAATGGTCAAGAATGACATGCGTGTCAGTCTGTCAGGATCTTCATTGCTGAAGTCAACCAACGGCCGGCCCGCGGCCGCCTCGTTTATAGCGTTGTGCGGGCGGGCCGCGCGCGCTTTTGCCGCTCATGCAACTACTGTACCTACTGTAGGTTAACTTCAGTGTAGCGACCTTGGAATTCAGAAACCGGGGTTTGGGTACCGGTTAACATGTAATGCCTTTTCACAAATATGACGAAGCGATAACAAGGTTGACTGCCGCTTCAACCCTTCCAACCTGTCGCCGGATCCGCGTTAGCAAGGCGTAAACCCAGCAGATTGAGAGATTGCCTGGATCAGGGGGGCCACATCATGGCACATGCATGCACACAGAACTGGGGTTGGAAAATGGCTGCGGATTTTGAGGTCTCTTGCTGGCTGGATGCCATGCCCCGTTAAAGATCATGAGCAAAACTTTTGAAAGTCTCTACTTGTAGCAAACACTGAAGTTTTGGTGGTGTAAAGCAACATCGTCGATATGCAGCGATGCAAGCTGCTGTAAGCGCCAGGGCGGCGCTGAGGATCTCTCGCATATCCAGACCTTATAACGTTCCAAGAACGGTGCTGTTGAGCAGAAGGTTGCTGGCTGCAAGGCCACGTTCGTTCAGCAGCAGTGAGGTACGTGTCCAAAGGTCCATTCAAAAATTAGAAACATACCAGCTTGGAGCGATGCTGAAGTTCTGTATCATCACATTGAAGCTTGAAATCCATGCTGCTTTTGAAGAGCAAAAGTCAAAAGTTTTTGATGTTTTGGTGACAATTGACCATGTTACTGCAGGGCATACAACTTCAAAGTTCGGGGGCCATGAAGCACGGTTTTGAATCAGTCCGAAAAGGGGAGGATCAGGATGGGACAAGTAAGTCCAGCCAAGCAATTCTTATTTGATTGTCTAAAGTGCTCTGACATATCTTTGAGCATCTCATCTGATCAAGTGCGTTGCACTCTCCACTTCATGAAACCGTCTGGGATTCACAGAGTTAGGTGGGGCGCACTTCCTTGCTTGAACACCACCACCCCTCTGTTCATTGAACCTCAAAGTTGCTGCCTATCAAACAATGGATGATGTTCTTTGTGCAAGCTACGTCGTTAAGAGCGGTGGATTGGCTGGGGCAGATTGGTTTGCCGCTGCTCTGCAGGTGAAGTCTTCAAGCTGCGCATCATCTCATACAACATACTTGCTCAGGTAGGCCCTCTTTTCAGGCTTTGTTGCTAACATGATTCTCATTAGGGTAGTTCGGTGCCTGCTGAAGATTGATGCAGGAGGGTCAGTCTGACAATCGCATGTTGAGCTGCATAAGTCCTTACCTTTTTGGAAGTCGCTTGGGCTTGACTTTGTCCCGCAATATTGGTGCACAACATGAGCCACACAGGGTATATCGATTCAGGTGCGCTTCTGCAAACTTGAATGTGGCTACAGTCAAGCGCGCTTCTCATGACGATGTTGTTGACTACTACTAATTGCGCCGCAGCTCATCTTCTTTGACCGTCGCTTTTGCAGTGCTACATCAAGGGCGAGCTCTTTCCATACGCTCCAAAGAACTCCTTGAAGTGAGTGCACACCGCCTACAAACGCTTCCAGAAAGGTTGTTCAACCTGGATAAGGTCTATCTAACTAAGTAACCAACGTCAGTGTCGCTGTTGCTGATGAGCTTTCAAGATCAGTCACTTCTTCCAGACATGTAGAAGCATTGTGACAAAGTGGTTGTTGACATCATGATGGACCTAAGTGCGAGGATTTCTTTCAGGTGGAAGAACCGGTCACAAGTCCTGGGGCAAGAGTTGCTGTCATTCGACGCCGACTTCATCTGCCTGCAGGTGAGAGAAAGAGCGAAGTTCTTCTTGTCATGAGACGTTAAGATGAGTCCATACTGTCAAACGATGTCTGCCGACCTAACAAAAAGTGCTAACGCCAAGAATGAGCTTATCGTGTGGTGACAGTTTAACACGGCTTGTTTCCAGCCTTTTTGATTGGCACATGCAACCGGCTTCTCAAACAAACGCATGACTTCTTGTCTTGACTAGTAGCTTTTGTGCATCCCGACGTTTGGCCTCCTTAGCCAAAGGATCTTCCCTGCTCGACTTCGCCTTAGTTCTTGTGCATGGTGAGAACAATTAAATCTGGTCGATTTGTCCTCTGCAGCAAAATCGTGCGACAAAAAGGCACCTGGTGACGAACAGGAATCTCTATGTTCCCAAAAATGGGCTTATATATACATATGGCTTCATTCTAACGCTAGCGGCTTTCACTTCTGTCTAGGAGCTGGACATGTTCGCCGAGTTCTTCCGGCCGCTAATGGAACAACATGGTTACGCATGTCTCTACAAGCAGCGGCCCAATCGAAAGAACGACGGCTGCGGCATCTTCTACCGAAGCGACCGGTGAGCATGCACTGCTTCTTTGTATGAAGTTTGTTTTTTGAGATCCTCGACCTCTTGAGATTTCCCACTTTCAAAGCCTTGAAAGCGGTCGTCGACAAAGCAATTGGATTCTCCAGCAGCGGTCGAGCTCGAGAATCCCGGCAGTGTTCACCCCGCTCACGCGACTGTGCGCCCGAGTTGTGATTACATTCGGAAATCTGAAGGAACTTGACGAAGAGAACTATAAGTATTTGGCGTTGAAGCAAGGCGGTGCTTTGACGCGGTACTTGCAGTCAGTCAGCCTGCTGTTGTTTCTTATCGTCCCTCTGCTTTTGGGACCCCCGTGTTGGATTCTGAACGAGAAAAGGAGGACCCAATCTGCCAGTGGTGCATCCGAAGCAGACAAAGGGATAAGGCCATCCAGCTTATGATCCCGAGTTGATCCAATAGACGAGCCTCGAACATCTCCTTTAGACTCTCCGTTGCTTGAAAAGCCCAGCATATTTTGGCGTGCCAAGGTTGTTCACTGAGGTCCGCAATATGCAACAAAGATGAATTGCGGCTGTTTATCCCTACGGTCCAAACCCGTTAACCTGACATCAAGCATTAGGTGTCCGCGCTAGCCAGCCAGTGACCTGGATTTCGATTGTGTCTTGTTCTTGTGCATTGCAGGTTTACGCTCCTCCAGCGGCGCGACGTCGACTTCAACGACCTGGTGCCGGAGGAGGAGTCTCCACAGGAGCCCCCGTCAAAGATGCCGCGGACGAGCGACGGCGCCGTGTCGGACGCCGGGCGCGCGTCCTTCGAAGCGTCCGTCGGGACGTCCGTCGCCAGCCAGATCATCGAGAACGACAGCGCGTCGCAGAACGGGGCTGCGGTGGAGCCTGTCGGAGTGGCACAGACCCTTGGGGGGTTGGCCGACCGGTTGATACGCACCGGGAATGAGGCCGCGGGGACCTCTGGAAGCCAACCTGCGGCGTCCGCAACGCACTCTGCGGCGCCCAGGGCTGATACGAGCCGGGGCAGCGGGTCCGCAGAGGGTGGGGACGCGACCAAGTCCGGGGTAAAGGCGGTAAGGCTAACCGGGTTAGCCGAGAGGCTCGTCAAGCCTGAGGCGAAAGCGAGCGGGCCGCCCGCCAAGGATTTCGCGACGGCAGCGCGGTTCTCGAAAGAGCACCGATTGCAGAGGGACTGCGTGGCGGTGATGGGGGCGTTCCGGCCGGTTGGCGGGACCAAAGGGACGTTCGTGGTCGCAAATACGCACATTTACTGGTGGGTGGTCAGACGCGTTGGTTTTTCAGTAGTTTCTGTTCTCCACTTTGGAAACAGTGGCTGTTGGTCCAGGGATTGTGCGAGTTTGCCAACGTTCTATGGTTCGTCCTGGCAACTGGTTATCGAATGAATGTTCAGGACTGGCGATCAATGGCCAATCGTATCTGTCGTTGTGCGCGACAGGCTAGCAGTATGCGGCCATTTGACTCCAGTCAGCCGGCCTTCAAGCCAACAATGCAGCCTTGCGTTTTTCTGCTCCGGCCCTTCCTTGTTTCGTTGCTTCTTTTGGGTCTTTTGATCTCGCTCTCTCTTCCACACTCACCATGTCTGCAACACCGTCGTTGTTTACAACAGTCGGCAGTTGTGTTTGACACTCCGCTGTCTCTCTTGATTGTGGGCTCCTGCGTTTGGGCGCGACCGGATCTTTCGTCCACTGTGGTTCTTATCACTTTTAAAGCTTTGAAGGCTCTGAAGCTTTTAAATGCCTTCAAACGCTTCTCGTTTTCTTTACCGTTCACCAGCATTTACTGACATTTACCAGCTGTCATTGCTCCTCGGAAGGTCTCCGTTCTCCTGACCCGCAACTCTCCCGGGCCGTGCAGGGACCCCCAGTGGATCGACGTCAAGCTTGCGCAGGCCGAGTACCTGCTCTACAGCCTGTCCAACTTCTTGGACTCCCTCTCCGAAGGCGCCCGGGGCAGCGTCCCGGCCATGCTGTGCGGGGACTTCAACAGCCAGCCGGGGGACCGGGTGAGCGCGCCTGGCGGAGTTTTGCCAGTCGATGATTAGGACCCATTTTAACCCCGGTTAACGGCTAGGACCTCGGTTTGGACTTCTTTGCGCATTTGCATTTTTTATGTGCCTGGGCTCTAAGGACATGTTGCAGTCAACCGACTTTCCAGACTTTGTCATTGTGCACCCCGGTCTTTGTATGGAAGTCCGGAAACCAGGTACAAGTAGGGTTCAGATCTTGCCAATTTATGTTGCTTTGGCAAGTTCCTTTGCCACGTGGCGACGCGCGTGGGTTCCGCCCACTCGACTCGCACCACTCATTAAGGGATTCGCTGAAAATGTCTAGCACCTCTTCGATCAGTGTCGTTGGAGCATTCACCCAAAAGACCTTTCCGGAAACGGTGGAAGGGGCTGTCTCTCGAAAGACTTTTCACTTCAGGTTCTTTCTCGTGTGCCGATTCAGGCCAGTACACGAGCTAATTTGCATACTGTCGCCACCTCCTTCAGAAATGGAGCTTCGTTTGCGACGCCTGCCGTCGGCTCCCTTCCGCGCTCTTTCCACAGGCCTCCATCCGGGGGTGAAAGATTTCGCAAATGTTTCGAGTGAGCTGCGCTCTGAACGTACGTATTCGCTCGGAATGTGAGAGCGTGATATTTGGGATACACCTGAGTGGACACTGACCGTGCCACTTCGGTATTGCATGGAAACCACTGACGGCTCTGTCTCCTTTCCTCGCAGGTGTACCGGTATATTACTTCGGCTAAGCTTCCGGAAGACACATCGACAGTCGAGGGGAAAGCACGGAAGGTCGACATTGAGTCAGCCGCCAACAAGCTGTTCGTAGCGCCCGCACCCGTGCGGTTGTTCAGTGCCCATGAGAGGAGTGGGGGGGAGCCCCCGTTCACGAATTTCACGCCAAAGTTCACAGGCACCCTTGATTATTGTTTCCTGACCGCTAATATGGTGCCGCGCTTGGTAGGTAGGAAGAGCACACCGGACGATACCGAAAAGGAGTTAGGAGTGGGTATACCCAATCAGCTGTACCCTAGCGACCATTTGCCTATCGGGTTCGACTTCGAGATCGAGAGAAGAAGTTTCAGGTGACACGCGGACCAAGCACAAGTTCCAAATCAACATAGCATCTATATAATCAGCAGACATTATGCAACTGGAACAGGGAACGGTAACGGCATCGGTGATCGTACTTCAGGCAACAGAGAGGTAGGTCCTTAATGGAACATTCTCAGGTGCGCAGTCGCTGGCTTGACATATCCAGAGGTGCACCACGGCTCGCCACTTGATGCGACGTTTGAATCCTGTGTCCCATGTGACGCGCGATGTCCTATGGTATGATCGATCATGTCCAGGCTCGTGGCAACCACTTGCAACCACCGAGTCCAGTCTTACTTCGAACCAAGCTGGCATGATGATTTTGCGAGGTCGGTCAGCAACTTAGCAATAGTGCGTCACAGAAGCAACAGAACCACGTGGGTAACGTACAATAGGTCGCTATACAATTGAGTTGAAAGAGTACGCATTTAGTCTACATGTCTCTATGCTCATGCAATGGTTGGCCTTCATATGCCGAGATTCCGGACCAGGATAACGCGCGCAATTGTTTGCAACCCTGCATGGCGCCGCGTCGTAAGAGTCCGATCGCTGCGATGTATAGTTCTAGATCGAAATATGCAGATTCCGTACAACCTTGCGTTGAATTGCAACTTCAGTTGTACACTGGACTTCTTCGGGCATCGATCGACTATAATTGGACAGATTCATGTGAAGCCCCATGTAAGATGACGTACACTGACGTCATGTTTGCAGCACGTCTATTCCCGTTGGCAGCTGTTAACATTTGCACGCCTCTGGGCCAGACGCGACTCTTTATCTGGCACGTCCACTGCATGAAGTAAAGAAACGCAACAACCAAGGCAAACGTCCTCACTAGCCTGAAAGGTGAAAGTGGAGAGGCCGACTTATGGGACTTAAGAAATGAGAACTTTCAAAAAGAAAACAATAACACTTAAAGAGCTACTTGCAGGACTAGAACGGCCTCAAATGTCGCCTTCTAGAAGACCTGAGCTCAAATCTAGCGACCGACACTTGAAGTTGCTGGGCCTACTTCTAACAAAGTCATCGCAACCCCCAAAACCACGTTCACTTTCACCAAAGAGTATCAAGAGTTGACCTATACCCAGTCCGCCCGACTTCTTGTCACAAGCTTTCATCGTAAAAGTGCCCACCAAACCTACCACAACTGTCACTCAAAATACGCTCCTTCCACGCTTAAATAGTCAATGTTTCTGGCTTCGATCCTTTCGTGTCATCTCCTCTTGTTACTTGTGTTTTCACCCTTACCCTTGCCATTTCTCCCCTGTCCGTCAGGATCGTCGGCGCGACACCATCTGCTTCGGTCCGTGTACCCGACCGTTTCCTGTTTCCCTCTCCCGTTAATCCAGTTTCGTTCCTTTTTCATCTTTCTGCAGTCCATTTGTGCGAGCTCGCTTTATCTGGCCACGGTTATCCCTTAATTAGAAGTACCCCGCGCAAGCTCGCGCAAACTCACTTTGCTACCCAGCAAGTACTACGAGCCATCTCCGCGCGCAAGCTCGCGCACTTTCGTCTGATATCCACCAATAATTATAAGCAACCTCCGCGCACATGCTTGCGCACCACTCCCTGCTCTTATCACAAATGATTGTACACCTGCCCCTCCATCTGTAGCCCCCTGCCCTGCATATACGCTGTACTGTTCACCATCTGCCCGTCATCGTGCGCCACGTGTCCCCCGAGGACGATCCGGGGCGCCTGCGCCACCGCGCCCCGCTTCCTCGCCTTCGCAAACCCCCGGGGTTTGGCGCGCACTTTCGGCGACGCGGCCGGGCGCGGCTCCGCGCGCCGCTCGGCCTTGGTCCAGTGGCGCTTCCGCTCGTTGATGAACCAGTTGTTGACCTGCTGCAGCTCGAGGCCCGCGCGCTTCGCCAGCCGCTGCTTCTCGTTCTCCTGGGAATGTTGGCAGCAGATTACGAGTTAGCAGAGTGAAGAACGAAAGGTGCAGGAAAAACCGTCAAACACCTCGATTCTTTAGCTCCTGTCTATCTTGCGAGCGCTTCGCCAGCCGCTGCGCCTTGATCTGCTGGGGTTTGCGGCAAAGATCGGGGTCGCGGAGGGAGGGCTACATAAGTAAGGGGTATATTGTGAAGGATCCTCAAGAAAATGAGACTCGTTTAGCTCCCGGGCAGCTCTTCTACTTCGAGCCCCGCGCGCTTGGTCCGCCTCTGCTTCTTAATCATTTTCTTGAGATTAGCGCTGTGATGGATTTTTCAGGCCAAGGAACCAGGTCTAGGGCAAACTGCTTGAGAGCGTTTTGCGTGCGGCGAGCGACCTTTATGTGAGAGGAGAGCAGCCGCAAAGTAGCGGAGGGAACAGGGAACTGAATGCTTGGCAGCTGGCAGAAGTGCGTCAAATTAGGAGCATTTCAGTAGCAATTGATCCAATCTTCTCGCGGATCTGTCTGAGGGACGTGGTCTCCAACAAATAGTGACGGCGAACGGTGTGGAAAGCCCCCTGCAGTTCGGACAGGAATGATCCAAAGAGGAAGGGAAAGAACTAGAGGCGCGAGAGGGTCTGCCCACCGCAGGATACGGCGAGTCCTGGTGCTTGGCCCACCAGCCGCGCATGACCTTGATCGCGGCGGCCGGCAGGCGCGCCTTCGGCTCCTTCTTCCACGTGTCGATGTCCATGCGCGCGATCGCGGGCCCGTGCAGCGCGATCATGCGCGCTTTGAGCGCGCCCATGTCGGCCGGGCCGGCCGCGCCCACCAGGGCCAGGACTCCCGCGGCGCCCGCGTCGGCTGGACCCGCGGCCGGCTGCGAAGAACAGGGGTTTCAACGGCTGGGAATTCTTCAGAGGTTTTGCGATATTACAATCATCCGAAAACGTCGT